TTAATATTTCCTCCAGACCCTCACAGGACCGGTTAACATCATGTTCTGTTGGTTCACTTACTGTCACCCTCATCTCCATTCGTGTTGTCACCTCTCCGTCTTTCAACCCTGCTGTCTTCTTCCCTGTTTCCCCCGTTATCACCCTTTTTTCCCCACTTCCCCTCTTGTCACACTTCTGCTTCTCATGCCTCTATCTCCTAACACAGGCGGTTATAGACGAAAACTATGACAGAAGGAGACGTAGAGGTGACGGGATTTGGGAAGATGATGTAATAAAGGAGGAGAGAGAAAACAAAGCGAACAGGAGGCAATCGGAGAAGGTGAGAAAGCTGTAAGTGTGAGGGAAACGACGAGCTGTGGATAAAATCCGAGAAAAGGCGCGGGCCTTGTTTCGCCTCCTCCATTGCGCCCTCACTACAGGAGCGCTTAGCTTTTTGTTTCCCTCAGCGTTGCCCTGGTAACCGTTGGCAATTTCACATTGGAGCCACATGCCCCGCTGACCGACAGCTCGCTGCAACCCGAGGCACTCGCCTACACACGCACAGGCACATGCATCTATAAAAACATGATTGCCCTGCTGACCAGCTGTTTGCTGCAGAGGTGTCTTGAAGCTGCAGCCCACACATGTCAAACTACACCAACCAAAACTGTGCAACGTAGTGTTCACATCCGATTTTTAAACATCATAATAAAGAAAAAAAACAACAGAAGACATTTATAGCTTCAACTGCTGGCAGGACTGAAAGTCTTCACCATGGGAAGATTGCAGAACTAAATTTTGAAGCCAGTTTCTACCAATTGACTGATACAGGATTTTTTAAAGCCTGATCCTGATACAGATTATTTTGATATTACTTTAACCGACACACAAAATGTACTACCAAAATTTTTGTGCTGATTCTTTAGGCTGATACAGCTTTTTTTTTCTCCCATTCACATTATGAAAATTAAAAAATGATAACGAATCATCAAGACAACACATTAACAATGGATAGCAAACAGAGAGAGAGCAATGCATGCTATTCATGTGATCTCAAAGCATGGCCCCGAATGGACTGAAGGCATTGACGAATGCATGCACCTATGGACAGATACAATTTAAAAACATAAGAAAAAAACTAATATAAGGACAATATAAGCCAGTCTATCTCTACCAGTTTTAGAATAAACAAAGTTAATAAACTGTTCTCTGCTTTAACAGCCAGAGAAAGTGCTGAACTAACTTCAAGCGCTACTTCCTGCCACAGCATGTGACATTTGATATTTGGTAGAGTTCGACCCATACAGGTACCGTACATTCAAAAACCGATGCCGATACAGATTATTTTGATTTCCCTGATATATATGCTGTCGATAAAACAACCACCTGATGAAAATAAAAAATACCAGTTGGATCAGTCAACTGGCATTTTGAATCTGGCTGCAGAATACTTTTAGAGAAGCAGAACGGTCCGATTTGTAGTGTCACAGACATGGGCTCTTGTTTTGGAATTCTTTTTTTTCAGGAAAATGCTTGATTTAGTCTCAGCTAAGGTTTATTATCCCAAAAAAATCAAATTTTTCTGTTCAGCTATAACAAGCAGTGGAACAACGAATATTTAGGGATGAAAAGGAAGAGTGCGTAGCTTCGGCTCAACCTGCTAAACATAAATGTTGTTCCTGTAATTAGGACACCAGGAGTAAAAACGAAAATATATATCTAAATAAATATATATCTAAAAATTGTAATACAAATAAAATCTATATCTGAATTGCATGACTTTTTTAAATTATATTTTTCTAAATAAATTGACCAACTTTCCTCCTCTTCAATTTCTACACTTGTTAGCACTCATCAAAAACCTGTTGTCAGTAAATATATTACAGACATTCTTCAGAGATTCTTCATACGTGGCACTTAAATAATTTATTACAGTCCAGCCAGTCCTTAACAACATGCATATTGTTCTATCAACTTAGGCTTTCTGCTGAGTGTCTGAAAATTTTCAGCTGGAGATGTAATGACTGCACAAACAATATGGAAATAGAAAAGTAAAGCAGTCAGCTGACCTTTAACAAAATTATTGCCATTTAAGAAGAGCCTAGGAGGAGAAGAGAGCTATTTAAAAGTTGCTGCATGTTATGGACATGGACACCCCTGACTTAATTGCTTCTATGAAAATACTTTCCTCTCTGAGCGTTTCTCTTCCATACTCATTTTCGGAAGAATGTCACAAATCAGGGGAACCTTTTCAAAGCTGCTTTTGTCACAGTGTCCCTGCAAACAGATGTCCTTATATCAACTTTTTAATGCATAAAGCCTGATATAAGCGCCACTGTTCAAAGTCCTTCACAATTCCAGCTGATCATACAGGAACTGTAAATGCTTTTTTGCAGCTAGCTGTACATTGCACAAGTGTCTGCAAGAGTGAGTAAAAAGCACAGCTCTATGTGGTGCGCTGACCTAAATTTACTTCATGAGGGCCGATCTGATAGAACTGATAGGAAAATCAAAAACCATTTGTCCACTTTTTTACACTGAAAATATTGATTTTATTGTTTATTACTGCAACTATCCCAATGTTTCATGAAGGTGGCAGCCATATTGAATTTAAGGGGAAGAGTATATAAGAAACCTTGGACCTTCATAATGGCTGTTTTGGCCTCAGGTATTGTTTTAGTTCATTTTTCTAACCACAAACAACAAAAAACGTATACGTACAAATGAAGTGCATCATAACACACTGCAAGTTAAAAATACATAAACATGTAAAAAGAAATAATCTTAAATGTTTCTACAAAAGGGGAAGACATGGAAACTAAAACTGTAAGGAGTGCATTAGATTGACACTCTGATGGAAGGCATCAACCTGAAGGTAAATTTCTAACCATTTTCTAACCAGGATCTGTGGGGTCTGCAGAGATATTAGCTGCTGTTTTTTTGTTTTTGTTTTTGTTTTTGTTTTGTTTTGGAACTACCATGTTTTGCAGGTGATCCAAAGCATACAGTGATGGATAAACACTAACCATTCCTAATAATGCCAGTGTAGATGGCCACTTGCTCCTTTGGAAATGTGTACTTCTTAAGTAGAAAGTACACTCTCTGCTGGGCTTTGGAGTTTTTGTGTGTGAACACCAGCTCAAGTCCAGAGAAAGGTGGTTCCTGGGAACGAGAAATAATCCAGTGTTGTTGAGGATGGTGAGAGGAAGCAGTATGAGGGATGTTCTCCGGAAGTCCACTATCATCTTCGCTGTCTTGAGTTGCTTAAAGTGCACCATTCAAGAGGTCTCATCACTTTCCATAATTATACCAGTGATGTGGTGTTGCTGTCATGATCTTGGCACTGACTGGTTTAATTACTCATTCCATTACCTGTCTATTCTGCCTGGTTTCTCATCACTGCTTGTCTGATCCACCTGCTCCTGCCTCTATTTAAGGTGCTTGCATCCAGTCATCAGAGCCTAATTATTCTTGTTCTCTCTAGCCAGTGTTGGGAGTGTTTTTAGAGTTCCTTGGTGTTTCTGAGTTCCTGATCCTGACCTGTTCTGCCTCTTAACCACTGAGCCTGCCTGTTCCTGTTCTGATCTGTTTGCCTGACCTGGCTTCAGACTCCTGCATGTTTTCCAGGGCTGCAGTATCTGGGACACTCTGGGCGGCGTCCACCGCATCTTGTTGGCAGCCCACCAGCTGGATCCTACCTCCTTCTCTGGCTATGGACTGAAGTTGTAAACCAGGTCAGAGACTCACATTCATAATCATTCTCTGTTAGATTTACATGGTCACTAACCTGTGTTTTCTCTCTCTAGAGTTTCCTTCCTCAGACACTCTGGCCACTGCTACTGCAGATCCACATCCCGTTGATTTAAATAAACGCTTTTTTTATAATCCCACTGTCTGTCTTGCCTTGAATACTGGGTCCTCTGTTCTGATTTGTGACAGTTGCACCTTCATGATATTCACAGATGGGTCTGCACTGGCATAGTCAGTAAGTATGTTAGGGTAAAGAGAAGGGGAGAAACACAGTCTTAGGGGGTGGTGGGGATTAAGGATTTTTTTATAGGAGAAGATGCTCCCGAGTTTCACCTACTGGTGAGAACTAAAGACCACAAACAAGATCATGGTTTGTGCTTGATCAAGGTGGTGCAAAAAGATTTGGTGTCCCCTGGCCGACTGTATTATCTGTTGACTTGTTTGTCCAGTAGTCAAATTACAGTGTGCCCGGCCTATGATTTTTCTACAGGGGCTTCAACATCAGCAACCAAAAGGCACCCTGTCACACATAGCACCATCTATTTTTACACATTACTGTTTGATTTGCACGTTTATAATCACAAGAAAGTTACCTTGGCTGCTCAAAATCAGTACAATCAAGCTGTTTAAGTCATGTCTAATAGTATGATAAAAAAAAAATCTAAAAAAAAATATAAAGGTGCAGGAATCAGAGTGTTGGACTGTCATGGTCAGTCCATTAATAATATAACCTTTCAGAGGCTGCATTTCAGAAGAAGCTAACACTAACAAAAAATGTGTAACCTTTTTTAAACCATCAACCGGAGGCTTTTCTTTCTTTTCTGCTTCTTTGTTCAAACTGTCAGTAAAGATTTGTTCAACTTTTGCATCTTACTTTTCATGATCTTTACATCTGTTTTTAACGAAAATAATGATCAGTAAAAACATTCATTGACTTTACCAACCGGATTGTAACTTTAACCGGATCTAAAATCCATTTTATTGTTGCAAGAAAGCTCTGAAATATGGCAACATTCCACTGGGCCCAGCATGCAATGACTGATGCCAGATGGCAAAGAATTAATGTGTTTGGATCCAGTTCACCACCTACAGATCACGGTACGCAGAGCACACAACAAACAGAACCTGATTGTTATTTTTATCGTTTGAGCCAAAAAGGCCTGTTTACTTATTAAGATCTTCTTTCTTCATGTAGGAAGCATTACTTCAAATATCCCCTATCTTTTAAACTTCTGTTTGTGTCTTCATGGATGTTGTACCATCAACGTACCTCCACCCAATTTCCATCCACCTCGTGGAAGAGGACACAGAAAGGGTCCGATTTGGAGGCTACATCTCGATCCAGCAGGTTGGACGCAGTGACAGATAGCTCGACCCGAGTCACGCAGTGCTGTGGTCCCACACTGCGTGTCCGACCATCAGGTGCCATACCCAGTGTGTAGGCCATGGTTTAAAAGCACAGGTGGTCAACCTGAAAGAGAAAAGATGTGCAAAATAAACATTCGGCAAAAGGTCAATTCCTTCATCAATCACAAGGCTCTTTTGAAAAACTTAACTGAAACTTCAGCTAAATGTTTTTGCTACTGGCAAAAATTGAGAAATTTGAAAGCCTTTATGAATAATAACTCGATGGAGAGATATGTTAAAGATACTAGGAGGTCCGTCATTTCATCTACACAAGGTCTGAAACCTTGCTAAGATGCTATGCTAGGGTTACCCTGGAGACGAAAACCACTGTGCTTTTCTTTAAAGATATATTCTTGGATATTCTGCCCTGTACGTATGGAGTTCTATGTGTCACAATACTATTTCATCTATTTTAATTTTTTTTTAAAACACATATCAGTGTGTTATTAGAAATAGCAATATCTTAGAAATGTTCTCAAATTTACCGGTACCACATTAAACCACCAAAAGCATTTTTGAATGCTGTAAAGTGTAAAAATTTTTAATATATAGTAGCTCAAGACCAAACTCCTTAGTGGTATAGAATAAGATAAGCTTCAAAACTAAATTTAGAAAGCTGGTTGTAAAATGAGAGGTGATGTAATCTCTGAGGTAAAATCTTCCCATTTTCCATTTCTGGATCTCCGTATTCTCCATTGCTACTACAGCCATCGTTACATCCAGGACAACCACAAAAAAAACTTTTCCACAGAGTATTCTAAACATTTACACAGCGCTCACGACGCTACGGAAGCCGGCAGACCAAACCAGCGCATTCAGCTCGGCAAAGAACTCATGCTCTTCCTCAACACTGAAGTCCTCAGACATTTTTCTTTCGTTGTTTCTTTCTTTGCACAGGTAAACAGCACATTTCTTCTTCTACGCTTGCATTATTGGCAGAGCAGACGCTGAATGCGCACTTTCATCTGGTTTGGTCTGCCGGCTTCCGTAGCGTCGTGAGCGCGCATGTGCGCGCTTTCAGGAAATCCTATACTCTACTGTTTATGCTCTAAAAACATTCTAAATGACTTCGTTTCGAGTAAATTCTGGATGCTACCCACTCAGGACACTTGGAATACATTGGACGAGCAGTATGGAGGAATATTGACACGTTTTTTGTGGACTTTTATGGACCTTTCTGTCTCGGTCACCATAGACCTCCATTATTTGAATGTCAGCAGACAGCAAGAAGCCTCCCAGATCTCCAGATGCATTTGAGATATCAAAAAAGTACTCCAGAGTGTTGTTCAGCATGGGGGTGAGTAGAAAATGAAGGCTAATCATGTTTTGGGTGTACTATTCCTTTAAAACAGGTCGACTTATAAACATTTAAAAGTATAATGCCTTAATGAGTAAAACAGAAGAGAAAAGTTTAACTAGCGTTGATGGGAGTAGCATCTATCTTGAATTACAAGTCAGGTAACATACGGTTATGCCAACTTTCCGTCTCATAATTCCAGATTTTCTGGGCTGTTCCAGTTGGAAATTTAGACTTCAGAGAGCAAAGGAAACACAAGATAACTAAGAAAGCCTAACAAAGATTTTCTTTTCTTTAAACACAAATGGTTCTGCAACCTTCATTCATTTAAAATAAAAAAAAGAAGAAAAAGGAATGATGGCTGGTTGAAAATGTTTATGCCTTAAATCAGGGGTCTTCAACATTTTCCAGGCCAAGGACCCCCAAACTGATGGCCAGATGAAGCAGGGACCCCCTAATTATATATATTGTATGAAATTGTGTTATATGAAACTGGTCCTATAGTCACTCTATTACAGATGGATTAATTTAACGAAAGTAATTTCTCACTGGGATTATTTAAGTATTTCTGATTTTGATTCCTTGTTAATGGGACAGGTGTTGTGAATGAAACGGTGCCCAGCTTGAAAGAGCTCCTGTGTGTCGCTGAATGCATGTATTGATGACTGAAAGACGTCTTCTGCCTCTTCTGTTTACTACAGTGTGTTGAATTTATTTTAATGTGTATTTAAAGACATTTCAATTAGTGGAAAAAATTGCAGGGGGGAATATAAAAAAAAAGTCTAATCAACCAAAACTTTCGCAACCCCCATGCCGTACCTCCATTAACCCCCTAGAGGTCACGGACCGCCTGTTCAAGACCTCCGCCTTAGATCATGTTTCCCAACCCTGGTCATCAAGTACCCCTGTTCTGCATGTTTTAGGCATCCTCTTGCTGACAAGCAACTGAAACACATCTAAAACATGCAGGCCCCATCCTACTACCCGCTCTGCAGCCAATGCCCCTCCAACCAAACTGGAGAATGGGGACAGTAAATAATTGCACCTCTGCATCGTAACAGAGACATTGAAAATGATGGGACCCGGATTAAAAAGATTTTAAACATTTTTGTATTCACACACGAACAGCACAGTACAATATGACTTGTAAACAATTACCCCTGATGTTTTACATCTTTTTTTGCAGCACTAGCAACAGAGCTTCTTATGTTTTTGTTTTTTATATTTACAAGAAAGAGGCTTCGTTCCATTTGCAGGATTTGAAAAAATAAAAGGACTAATATAGACTGTCAATGTTGAGTTTGTTTGCAAATTCCGAATTTTAAATGTCAACTTTGAGAGATAACCAATCGTGTAAAGTTTTAAAATAAAAAAATAAGTGAATAAATATGTGCAGTGCAGGGGATGAATAAGAGCGTAGGCCTATACGCATGCAACATACGACTATCTGCTTTTCCAAGTAGAGTTTAGCAGCTGAACAGCAGAAGGAAAAAAGGAGTGTTTGTATCTATTGGTCCGAGCTGGTGGATATTTAAAACGGGAACCAGAGGGTAGAAACTGGAATTCGCTATGTAGGGGATGGGTGTAATTATCCAAGATGGACTCAGCCTTCCTTATTACCTGCTCTTCATACATTTCAGTCATGTTTTTCTGTTGAACACCCGTGATCTTACAACACACTTTAATAATCTTGGATATGACATTTTTATTCTTTACATTAAGAAGAGCGTACCAGCAGATGGCAGAGAAGGTAAGCAAGGACTTACCTTAAGGTAAGTAAAAGATCTATAGAACATGGTCATCAGAGTCTTGTCAACCTGAAACCTGGCTTGCTTACTGAGGCAGTATAAGCTCTGCTGCCCTTTCTGATGTATTGTTGTGCGATCTGTTAATTCACAAACTCCTGAAATTACATCTTGCCAGAAGCAAACACATGCGTTCGCCTCGATTTCCCTTTCTGTGGAAACTTTTATCAGGAGGCTTTCCAGATAGATACGGGTAGTTCAATTTGAACTCTATACATTATTCATCTGGCTTATTCCATGTTAAGATTTACTTACATGATCAAATGAAATAGAAAAACACCCAATAGTTGTCTCATAATTTTAATTAGTGGCACCCTAAGTGTTTAACACTACTGTCCATCTCTACTTCTATCATTTTGAACATTGACCTCTATTTAATTAAAATTTTAAGGTTACCTTACACTTTAGACGTGATCTTGAAAATAATCCACTGAAAAAGGTCAGGCTTTTGTCCATATGAGGCCAATTTTTTTTTAAAAGGTAAAGGATAATCCCAGAAAGGGAACACAAGGTAATCTAGTAAGGATGTACATGAGTGCGCACACACTTATGATTTGTACCACAAGACTAGATCACAGCAAAGAGGTTTAAGGCAAAAATTGGATGAAATAACACACTTGAGGTATTTTCGTTATGATCCGAAAAGTGACACGAGTCTGATTTTTGAACAAACAGTTCCCTCTGTGTACACAAAAGGTGTTTTTGCTCTCACGGCAGCATGCAGAAAGGATGCGGTCTGTTGCTAAGATACTAGTCATAACCAACGTGGTCCTCTGGTCCAGTTCCGTGATGTCACACCTTTAGGTTGTGATAACGAGGACAAAAATAACATCTTTTTTTTACTCCCTTTACTCAATCATCGTTCAGGGGTTCATTTGCTTTCATTCACTCCAGTGTTTTATTTTAATTGAAATATTGCTAGTTTGAGAGACTGAGGGAGAAAACCAGCTGCTGACACCTGCTGCTTCCTCTATATGCTCAGAAATTTAGAATGAACATGCTGCTCCAGATCTGGAGCTTTTTCAGCAATGGTTTATTACATTCTCTGTCCAAGTTCTGAATCTACAAAAGACATGTTTGAAATTAATCAGATCTATTACATCCCTTCAGGTCAGCATACCTGGGAGAGTATTCTGATAGCACATTCAGCCCTGACCCAGCTAAAGATATTCACATCTTGATCACACTTCCTCAGTGAGAAACCAGAGAGAGGGCAGGCTGTTACCAGTTTACAGCATAGTGACCTCTGCAGGCACTCATCAGGTCTAATTACGTGTCCTGTCTGCTGCATTTGGAGCCAGAGACGTCATTAAAAGCAGGATTTCAATGTAAACAATAATCATGTAAAAATTTGCATTGACCTAAATTGAGATCAGGTCAAAAGGGAACTCAGCTTTGCGTTTTTCCTCTCTCTACATGCAAGGTTTTCATGAAAATATCGAATGTGTGCCACATCCTTCCGCCTGTAACCCCTCTAACCCGCAGTCTGAATGCAGGTCATTTTGCGTGGGTTTTTTATTTTATGCATTTAAAAGCGCGCACACGCACCAACCTGCTCCGACATCAACAGAGAAGCAAAAAACAGACTCACCTCAGTAAATGAACAACTTCTCAGGCGTTTTCCACTTCACACTTTCTATTTTATTTTCTTTCTTTTCAAAACGAGAAGGAAAAAAAAATAAAACTCACTTTTTGTTCTTCTTTTATCTGAAGGCTAAACCTGTAATTGACATTTTGACCTGCGGTGGTTATCCAAGGAGGCGCAACAGTGTGTGAGCGGAAATCATTGTGGGAGCGCTGACTCCTCTGCCAGCATCGGCGGACCGAGCTCCGTCAAGTTCACATGAATAAGATCCAACCGGATGTACAATCCTTTCACCTTCAAAATAAAGGTCAAGTTCAGGAAACTCATTTTAGTTAAATGTGATCTTGGTGGAACTATATTTGCTGACTTTTATAAACATAAATTACTTATTTTGCAGACTTTAATGAGTATTTAAAGTGATCAATTAAAGGTATAGAGGATTATCTTTTATATCCAGGTGGCTCATGTAAATAAGTGGTCCTTCTAATTGTCAATCATTTTGGTGATATGTTTACGTAGGGTCTTCCAATGTGCTATATTTTTCTGCGCATGGTGGTTTCAGACAGTCATTGAAGCTCACCTTTCTCACTGTGGTTCTTTGAAATTGGCAGAGGGTCCTAAGAGAGAAAGTGTCTATGAAGTGTATGAGAAGAAAAGAAAGGTTCCAGAAGAGGCACATATATCGCTTAATCAGGCTCAGAATGGGAACGATTTTTGGTCCTGGCATTTTACCATCTACACCGGCCCACGTATGGACACCACCCCACGACAAAAAAAAAAAAAATATCGACGCACAGTCAAATGGGTGCATCTTAGATGTGAAATGCAATACGACTACACATTGTGGATTAACTGATCTATCTTCAAGCATCACATGACATCCATGACCAAGACTTCTAAATCTAAAGAAAAACATTTTTTACCCATTGACGGCCATCCTAAACTGCCAGATTGGGAAACATCCCAACCTGGCAACAATGCAAGTAAGACAGGAAACCGAAGTCTTAAGATGCAAAACCCCATCATGCACCGCAACATATTTTTGCAAAATATTCTAACATAAATTCGCCCAATATAAGAGGAACATCGTAGTTTGGTTTAAAGAAAGCATTTTAGTTTTATTATAATTTAGTTTGTTGCAAGGATTTTACAATTTGAAGAAATGGAAAAATTACACCACATGCCAACCGTCACAAGGATGTGCATGACAAGGAAGGGCTATGTATACTGCAATGCATCATTTAAGTATTTAACATTGTGTTACTTCTTGAGTTATTGACTGTCACAGGTAAATAACTCAAGAGGGCCCTCGCACGCTGAAGTAAGGACCGGCCCTGTCAGTATAGGCTGTTCCTACCCAACAGCAGTGACTATTGAAAAGAGAGCGCAGGCACTGTGTAATGGGGGAGGAGTTACGTGATCAAAGGGAGCAAAAAGCAGTGATCATCTGACCGAACGGTAGGTTGACCGAGTTCACTATAAAGTCCACTATATAGTCCCCTCTCTATATAGTTATTGAGGGATTTAGGGGTTAGAATGACGTTTGGACACGGTAAACTTGTATGAGCTATGAGAACAGCAACATTTAAAAAGAGCGTGCACAAGGCGAAATGGGCTCGTGCACGCTCTCGCACGCCTTTAATAGGCTAACCCGGGTACAGGGTTGTGCATGTGCATTTTTTTTTGTTTTTATTTTTTTAAATTGGCTAAAATTCTCCACAATACCTTTAATATTTTCATTGCACTGTAGATGCATTCAGGCAGTATGGCTCTTTGTCCAGGGCAGTACAGACCCTGGTTTCCAGCATTTTGTAGATAATATTAGGGGTCCCTCAGGTCCCTCCCGCATATCTAGAAAATCACTAATGGACAAGATACCAAAATACATGACCTCCTCCACTTCAGACAAAGACTGATCAGGTATTGTTTAGGATCATGGCCTAAACACCCAAACAAAATAACAGGATGAGAATCTGAAGTTTCCAAACTACCCTCTACTCCAAAACTACACCCTGAAATTCTGGAAGCACTTTTTCTGTTGCAAGGATGTGGCTCAGCTCTTGCCTTGCTCTTAAAAGCCCCACTTGTACCCTATGAGAGGTGGTACTGAACTCAAGTAAGAGTAGCACTTCATTATAATTTTAAACTAGTAAGAGTAAAAAAGTATTTGGTAAAAAATCTACCTGAGTTCTGAGCAACTCATCACTACATCAGATGTTAGAAATGATGTAACAAAGTCAGAACTAAATGTCACCAGACATAAAGCAAGCTTTTGCAGGAAATGACAGTGATCTAACATAAGAATTGATTGTGTTTCACTCAAGTAAGAGTTGTGTTTTTTATTGTGATATTACACAAGCAAAACGTACGATGCAGTAAACCTACTCATTACGGCTGTTTTCAAAAATATATTCAAGTAAAAGTAATTGAGTAAATTTAACTCATACCCTAAACTGCCACTGCACCTTGCAGCACAGGGCATAGTTAATTGCAAGGTGATTAAAATAGTGGGTGGATTTATACACCAGGTTATTCTACCTTTTTTTGTATTTTTATTTAATTTTCTCCTTACTAATTTCATATAAAATGTAAGGAATGAAAAATTAATTACGGTACTAAGAGAAAAATCTGAAATGGTTGATCTTGATTTTTCTTTTTTTCACAAAAAAATCCACGCATTATTCTGACATTGTAATATACTATGTCAACTTTAAGAGCATTACATTTATTTTTGACAGTTTAAATTGCTCAGTAGAAAGAGAGTGAAGTGTTTTTTATTTTATTTTATTATCCATTGTTTAAAAAAGTGGCTTATTGTAGTACCCTTAATAACCACAAGAGGGAGATAAGCGTTTTTAAAATTTAAACAGCTCCAATTATTTTTGTAACAGAAGTCAATTTTCTCCATATTCATAAAGGAAAATCAAACTAAATGTATATAATTTAATAACAAACGGACATATATTTAAAGAAACTTTATTATCAAGGATCTTCAGTGAAACTGAGGATGTTGGCAATAGTGATTTCACCCAGCACGTGTAAACAACAACAAAAAAAACACATAATAAATACAAAAATGGGATACAAAAACCCTGAAAAACAGTTTGGAATAGTTTTTTTTTTAAGTTGATAGCAAAATATATACATTCCTTGTCTATGGAATGGCATAAAATAAAATCAAACTGGCACAAAATGTGTAAATGGAGCAAACAGCTTAAATCAAAATAGAAAAAAAAACAAGACAGTGTTTGTACCATAGGTATAGACAAAAAGGAAGTTCTGTGAAAGCTGAAACATTAACAAAATATGCTGGTCCACATAAAAACCCAAAAGGCCATTTTTTTCCACCAGTGTTTACAAGTAAAAGAGCAAAGCACACAATAAGGTGCAGACATTTCAAAACCAATTCTGTTCTCATTTTATCAAGTAGTCTTAAGATAGAAAATTAATACAAGATGAAAACCATGCAAAAACTGTTTCAACAAAACATAAATAGATAATAAAAAAATAAGCTGCTCATCCTTCCATTTAAAGCAGAAATAAATACGTATTCTGACAGAGACCACAACCTTTCATGATGATCAGGGAGGAAACCCCCTGTTTACAGCAGATTCTTGACTTATGGTGTTTTTCACAAATGTGGTCCCTGTTACACAGTGCAAAGTGACTCATTAAATCAGAGTCTGCAGAAATACAAAGAAAAGTATTCCAGTGCCAAAATAAGAAGAAAAACATAAAAGGTGGCCTTTAGTTTCGTAGCAGAAACTGTGTCCTGGGGGATCACATCAGATCAAAAATAACAAGCTCATTACAGTTGTTACAACTTCTGAGATCTGTGGTACAAACTTAGACAGATTTTTTTTTTTTTTTTTTTTCCTAAGACTCAGCTGATGTACATTTTTAGAAAATGTAATTTCTATATTTTCATTGACCAAATTAACCCAGTTGGTTGCTTCAGAGACAAATCTGTGATGGTTTTCTAACCTATGAGGGACAAAAACGGTGAAAACAACTGGAACAAAAATTTTCTCTTGCAAAACTAGAGGCTCAGATATGCAGCATTCATGCTTTAAAGCAGACAAAAATATGTCTTCTCTCCGCCTTTCTGTACATCATTTAATAACACATCTGGAAAAGATAAATATATTTGTTTGTGCCAGAAGAAGTAGGTGGTGAAGCTGCAGTTTGATCTCCTCTGCCCTGCGGTACAGATCACATTAGGTGGAGGAGAAGTTCAGTCTCCTCTCCATCTGGCTGAACGTCTGAGCTTCACTCAGAGAGACGTTATTCTTCCACAGCCTAAAGGAGGAAGCAAAACTTGAAACAACTGCACGGATAACGGTTTCTGGGTACCATAAAGGAAGTGACGCTGTGTCCCGTTAACATCTACCTGATGACTTGTAGAGCAGGGCAGGACCTTAATGCTTTAACCAGAGCTTCCACTCCCACAGCACTCACACTGTTGCACTCCAGGCTGAGGGAAACACACACAGACAATGATGTCCACAAAAGTTGCTCATTCTACTTTCCACAATGAACCAAACTTAGATTGTTTTTCTTTGTATTATCGCAGGCATCTGTTTGTTTTTTCAGTGCAGCACAATAGCATCGTTGGCTCCCCTCTCCCCTCCCTCACAGACATTTGTGACACCCACTGCCACAGCAGAGCTTGCCAAGTCATCAAGGAAAATTCATACACGGTTTTCAGCTGCTTGAGCTGTTGTCCTCATGCAAAATGAATATCACTGCCACTGCTGCTGCTTTTATCTACTCCACCTCATTAAAACTCAAATACTTTAATATTATCATCTCTGAAAGTATGCAAATACAAAATATTTCTTGCAATACTTTTTTAATCTCTTATTCTCTGTATTAAACTACATATGAGATAATTCTTTTTACTGAGGTATTTTGCTTCTTATATTCTTGTAGTAGGAGTATTTTTGTTATCAATCTTCCGTCTGCTTTGAAATTGAAAAAATAGGAGACACTTTCTCTTGTATAACGGCAATAAATGGCCTTTGAATGAATTTGATTTTGGCAGATTTTTTTACTGGCTACTGCAACACCATAGTGAAGATATTGAAGAAAAATGTATTTCCAATGCTCCAAATATGCTGTAAACTAGTGGCAATATTCTCAAATAATCTTTAGACTAAAGGTAATTTTAAGAAAATCTTAGAGTTCCTTCAAAACTAAAATATGATAACAGAATTCTTAAGCTAATTGAAAATCAACCAGAAAAGCTAAATGCACTAAAATGATCATATTTTAAGCTGTAGCTTAACATTGACAGGTAAGTTATACCACAAATGCATTAGAGGTATTTAAACTAAATACTTTCATACAATATTTAGTTCTTTACAAGTAAAATAAAGAATAAAAATCTGTAATAGGGTATGCCAAACTTTGTCAGCCTTGCAGGATACTTATGATCAAATCTAAATCAATCATTATTTCATTCAAGTTTCCTGCATTTCAAATTATACTCATGTTATAATTTTTTTCCACCAGGTCTCACAAAAGTAAGTCAGGACACATTTAATAATATTTTTTTCCCATGCTCCATGCAGGGCTCAGAAGTATTCTTATGGTGTTAAACACACTTTAGATGGTTTAGAACGCAGACTCTGGAAGGCTGAGCAAGTATAGACAATGGATGGACAGAAACCTTCTGGACTCTCTAGCGAAGTGATGGCTGGCCAATAGAGGGTGCCGCCATGTTACAGTAAAAACACAAAAATATATTAAAAAAATTATAAAACAGAAATACTTTAAAATAATGTAAAGATATTTATCAGATCTATTAAGATAAGCATTTAATAGGTCCATGTATAAAAACCTTTGTTATTTTCATGGATGATGCCCGATTGCTGATGTATTCAACTCTAGGGGAGCAGAAATATTTGTTCATAGACTCTATAAGTGATGCTGCATGCATAGTCACTTGAAAGAGTAGATTTAGGTGTGCAGCTCCAGACAGGAGGGTATCTAGTGAGGCTGACTTGGAGGTCAAAGGTTAGAAGGACAGAGAAGTAAATACGTTTATTGGGGGAGGTTATGTTCTATTGTAGAATTTCAAGGATACCCTCGATAGCAGATGATTGGCTACAACTTCCTCTAAATAAAATAAATACAATTTCTCAAGACAGTATCATCATTGTGTGATTGATTTAATTAAATCCGGATTCATCCAGCATCAAAGTGATCTTACAGTAATCTGTTTTAGTATGACTATGAGTAATGATGCATGGGTGTGTGTGTGTGAAAAAATGTTTTCATTAATTTGAATAAATCTGTTTAATACAACTTAATACATGTTTTCTTTTTGTAAAATGCCCTCATAAAAAAAAACAAAAAAACATATTTACCATTGACTTTATTCTGAACAAACAACCCATTCTTCAATAAAAATGTTTTCATTAACTTTCCTGTTTCTGCTGTGTTGGATCAAACTTACTCGATGCGATTCAGATCGTGGCAAAAAGGAAGAACTTTAGAGAGCTCCAGCGCCACATCGTCTCCGCAGTTATTCCAACCAAAGCTGATTTAAAAACAAAGGCGAGAAAAGAGAGAAAGATTAATTTCTGCTGTAAAATCAGAGTAATTAAAATCAGTTTATAACAGTCGGTAAGGAAAGTTGGTGTCAGAATTAATCTTTGTAAGGTGAATGCCAGAAAAAAAAGGAATACATTTGTGTTGGATAAGTACTCTTCACTCTTTATGTCTTAGCTCATTTTGATTTCTGCCTCTTGTGAGTTTGTGCAATGTTCTTAATTAGCTCTTTTTTGTTACCCCACATCCTGTATGACGGGACAGTGGCTCAAACTGGCAGCGACAGCACTCAGCTCTGCATCCCCCACAGACGTCAAGCTGAATAACAGTTAAAAATAGCAAACAATCAATACCTCCTGTAACACCTCTGTGATCGGATTCCTGAACTAACAGGACTTACTGGATCTTTTTGAGGCTCTTTAGGCCCATTATTGCTTTGGACAGACTGAGCAGGCCCTCGCTTCCGATTCTGTTTTCCGAAATACTAAATAAGAAAAAAACACAGTTTAAAAACATTCCTGCAATAGAGATAGCTGGACGAAAAAAGTCTATAGAGTAAAGAAGATTTAGCCAAGAGAATCTTACTCCAGTACAGCGAGCTGCGTCATTGATGGGAGGACAAGAGACATTCTGGCAGCCGTGAGGTCACCCAAAAAATTACTGGACAGACTGGCAGAGAAATACAAACAGATGGCTTCTTTATGTAACTTTATATACATACATATTGATATAAAATCCAGTTAAGATAGAAAAGCTTTCCATATCAAGAAAACTGTAAGATCTTCTCAGTTTTTTTCTGCTGAGCAGGGAGATATCCCAGAGACTGAAAACATGTCCTTACTGGAGCTCCTCCAGATGGATGCAACTCCTCAAAGCTTCCAGCAGCTTCTCTCCACAGGAATCACTCAGGAGATTCTTAGGGAGACTGAAGGGGAAAAAAAGAGCAGCAGCAAGAATTAAACCAGTTTATAAAGTTCAAGCACAGCATGTAAAGAGCAATAATAAAATAAAATAAAAATAATAATACTAAAAAAAGTGCAGAAATTATGGATCTTACTCACAAAAAATTTTCACTAGAGTTTTAGAGAAAAGAGCTTAAAACACAACAAATCTTGATCATTTTTAAACATTTATGTGTTGGGAGCTGGAGAAATCCCATCTTTCTCCAGCAGAGTCCGCCGTGGATCCTCTGAGGGAGCTCCCTGCACAGCTGCAGCTCGTCAAGATCATCAGAGGATCCACTACTTAAGCTGTCTTCAGACCTTGCCTCAACGCCGCAGTGTTGTTCCAGTTGGTCAGCGCTAAAGCCTAGATCCTCTGAGTATCTCCATGACTTTGAATCCTGTCTGGATTCTAACTATTATCTCTGTCTTCCAGGAAACCTGTGCCTCCTCTGAGAAAGCTCTGGAAGAGCTAACCTGCCGAGCCGACCCTCTGAGCCAAACCCTGAAGATCCCTCTGAGAAACCTCAAGCAGCTCAGGACTGAGCTGGGACTTCCAAGCCAAGGTCTGTTCTAACAAGACGTGAGACGCTGAAGCAGCTAACGGACTCTGCTGATGAACCCTTCTCCAGAACCAACAGTGACTCTCCCAAAATTAACCTCAAGAACCCTCAAGGGGTGAGATTAAGTTCTTTTGACAGAAACTAAACTCTCCATTCAAACTATAATTACTTTGATTTCTGCTGAATTACAAATTAAAACCTCTCCTAAAGGACCTACAGCAATTTTTAACTGTAATGGTAAATGGTTGTTATGGTTAAATTACAGAGGAAAAGAAAGCGGCTAAACTTATATGTCTTTACTATGTAAAAATACAGAGCAGTGATTCTCCTTCGAGTTATAACTTTTTTCTCAATGTGAGTAAGGTAGTATAAGTAGATTATCACCACCTCTATTTGATCATTTTATTATTAATTGCTAAATTGCAAGTATGATGAAATGCACATATGTGTAGAATTAACTAATTTAAGATGACTTGATTCTCTTGTTAGAAGGCAATTATGAGGAAATTGTAGATCTTAGCATCAGAATCTGAGTGAATTATTCTTCTTATTGTATGCAGATTGCATGTCCCCCTCCTGCATATTAGCTATGCTGGTGTATAGTTGTTTTCCCTGTGTGCCTCTGTGTTGTACTGTGATGAAAGCATTCACACTTTAGTTCCATCCATGGTTCCTTCACCTGATCTTCCTGAGGTTTTTCCAGACAGGAAGGATTCCAGTCAGTGTCTGTAATCCTCTATCAGCCATCCTCCAGCCACCTAACCTGAAAATAAAAAATTTATTAAACTCAGCTTTTATTTTTCATGGAAGAAAGGCCCAACTTGGAATGATCAAAACCACTTTCTCTGAGGGAAACAACTCACTCTATCTGCTGGATCTGAGTGAGCTTTTCTATTCCAGCCAGAAGGTCCAAAGCATCTCCTTCTGATGGTTCTGAGGTTTTTATGATTTCGTTCAGCCTTTTTCAGACAAAAACATACAGACATACATTTAATCCGCTCTTCAAGGTACATTCATTCACCACATTTCTTGAATGTTTAAAGAAATGCTTCTAATTTCTTAACTGCTCATACTAAAAGAAGTTTGGCAAAAGACTTAACTTCAAATAAACAAAATATGTTTTTATAGTTGAGTAAAAAAAGATCCTTCTAGTTAGTGCATTTTATTAAACCTTTAACATTCTGTCATGATAGAAACCACCAAAATGAATGTGTTTTATTGGATGTTTTTATGTGAAAGACAAACTATTCCATAATTGAGAAGCGGAGGGAAAAAGCTACATGCTTTTCATACTTTAACAGCCAGAAGAAAAACATAATTATCAATAACTTTTTCGTAAATTCCCTTCATTCTGAAGTGAAATCCACTACAAACAGCCACCATCAGTACATTAGAAGTCCCCTCATTCGTAAAAAGTACTAAGTAATTTTATCTCAGTTTAAATCCAGCAGTTCTATAAAGGACTTAAAAGTTCATTAGAAAATATAGACAGCCATGAGCATCAAGAGCTGACGGGTCAGGTTCACTTTAAATCAGGTTTAGAATCTAAAACAAGATCCAAAGCTTTGAACATCTCCCAGAAGTCTCTTTAATCCATGATCTGGAATAATCCAAACCACATATAGGAGGGACCAACAGCAGTCCTACTAAGACATGGACCTCCGCATGACAGGCTGTAAAATGAATCAGAGAATAAGGCAATAAATCTGGAGGAGTTGCAGGGTTTCACAGCTTAGATTAGAGAATGTTTTTTTTTTTCCTGAAACATTTTAGCCTCCATAAAAAAAGTGTAGTCTAAAGGTAAGGCCACACCCTGAACATAGTATCGTCCTCACTCTGGGACATGGTGGTAGCAGCATTTTGCTTTGGGGAGTATATCCTTCAGCAGGGACAGTGAAGCTCATTGCGGTGGATGGGATGATGTTTGACTGAAAATACACGTCCATCCTGTTTGAGAATCTGAGATAGGTAACTAAAGACCTGAAACTATGGAGGAGGTTCGCCTTTCCAACAGGATAACGACCTTAAATTCACAGACAGAGCCACAACTTGACGGCTTGGATCAAAGAATGATTATCTGCTAAAAGGGTCCAGTCAAAGTTTAGACCTCGATCCAATTAAGAATCTGTGGCAAGACTAGAAAAATGAATGTTCACAGATTCTTGCATACAGTTAGCTGACTCTTTAGCTATTTTGCAAATATTTAAAAAAGAAAACATATATTGGAGACATCAGTGTTGTGCCTGAATGCGTTCATTGAACGTACGTTCATGAACTCGTTCATATTTTGGGCGAACGTGAACTGAACGTACTGTATTACTGCCTGATGAACTTTATTGTGAACTTGTTCATTCTGGTGTCTGTGAACGGCACGCTCTCTCAGTTCAACTCCGTTCAATAGGTTGCCAGATTTCTATAGAGCCCTTCAGGCGAAACCCCGGCTAAATCAAACCGTAAACAGGCTTTAATATGTAGCGGGAAAAACACCCAATCTGGCAACACTAGCTACCAGAGTCGTAGCCTACAGCCGTGTGCGTCATCAAAACAAAATGCAGCGTGAAGGCCACAGCAGCATGGAGGCGACCGTGGACGCGACAAAGCAGCAGTATAATCACTTAAAAGAGGTTTATGACCAGGTGGTCGGTGAGGATGATGGCAACAATGTTACATTTCTCTGCAAAAACCCGCCGGCTTTCAGTAAAAAAATCCGCACTTCAGTAACCTTAAATTTCTACCTCAGCCTGGTCCCTCAGTTTCTGTTAGTAAAATGTTCTTGAGGGTTTTACTATTCATGTAACTTGTTTGTTAAACCTGCCTGGTATAATTTTCCAGGATTCCAGGATTCCTTTTTAGTATGTACTGAAATGGAATTTCAAATTGAAAAAATTATTAAAATAAAAAAAAACATTTGCACCTTAAAGACTACTTTCCTATTTTTCTTTTAATAATTCCTCATAAAAAAGACCATTCAAGCAGCACATTTTTCCTGATGTTTTTGAGAATATACTGTAGGGGTGAAAGCTGCAGCTGCTACTATAGAGAAGTGAATGGACAGCAACAAAGCATTAAAGCAACAATGGGGAAATGCTGTCCCCTCAATGCTAATGTAAACCCTGGTTGGATAAGGATTCAAAACTGGATATTAAGATGAAATCTGACACACAGTTTCAGTGTTACAACTGATAAAATAATTGCTGTCTGTGGTTCTACAGTAGGCTATGGTGTAATTGAGCAATATATGAAACAAAAAAAAGAACTATGAACTAGTTCATTTTTTGGAACTGTGAACTTAGTTCAAAATTTTGAATTATGAACTATGAACTGAACTAGTTCATTTTAAAATGTGTGAACTGAACTTTGAACTAGTTCACGTAGAAAGAGAACTTTCCCAACACTGGGAGACATGCTTCTCAATCTTCCAAGCTTCTAAATTTAGTGAAAGGTGGTTTTACAAAGTATTTAAAAGAAGGTTTAATTAATATGCACACTGTATTTACATTCTTAATGGTATTTTTTGTCCTTTTCACTCCACAATTATAAAGTATCATTGATGTATTTATTTATTTCTTTTGGTATTCCACTAAAATTCAAAAACAAAACATGAGCAGAAAACGTGAAAAGAAAAGATGTAAACTTCCATCTAGCCACACAGCAATGCTGGTCTTTGGTTAAATAGAACAGCCCAAATAGAAGAAACTGCTACTAACTTGAGAATCTTTAAAGAGTCCATAATCCTCAGAGCTTGAGCCAAACATCTACAGCCGTTTTCATTCAGCTGCATTGCTGCATCCAGACTTGGAAAGAAAAAGGAGTCGGAAAACTCTTAAACACAGACCTTTGAGCTTTAAACTGAAAGGTTTGATCAGTTGAGGTTTTACCAAAGATCTTCTAAAGCAGTGCAGTCCTGCAGTGCTTCAATAAGCTGCAGCCTTGCAGCTGCTGACCAAACACAATGGGACAAACTGTAGGAGTCAAAGAAGAACATAGGCATTCATTTACTCCAATAGACACATTAACACTTTGATGGAAGAAGAACAAACTATTTTAAACACTTGATATCAAATGATGCGCTTACTTGAGTGATTGAAGCCGAGGCAGCAAGTCGATCAAGGTCTGAGCCGCTGCATCACTTATCAAAACACCAGACAGGCTAGAGGTAAAAGAGAATGAGTTTCCATTATTAGACTTTTCATTAAAAGTGTCATTAACTGACTAAGTTGAAGTGAATTATTTAGACATAAGGGTACTAAGACTAGATTATCTAGGTGAAGCTTAAAATCCCAGAGGAAATGGCCAACATGAAGATCAAGGAGAGGCCTGTGAGGAATTTGATTTGCAAGGAGCTGCCATGTTAAGAAAGACCACCTGAGGTCATCACTAGAAATATTGGTATCAGCAGCAGATGGATCATCCGACAGTAAGTCAGGCTCACCAGACAGAGGAGGCTTTAGACATAACTATGTGATGTCTGAGCCTGTTTAGGTGCAGATTGCTTGTGTCCTCTCTCTTATAGGTTTTTGAGGAGGAGACATAAGCAGGCTGCACACACATGAGCCTGATCTTCATCTAGTGCAATATTTAAAGCCTGGCCTCCTGTGTGCTCACTGTCTGATGGTAGATCTGCCAACATCTTTCTCTTGTGGAAATAATCTTTTCAGCCTTTAGGGATTTTTACAGAGAACTAACCTGTGCTCTGTCTACCTAGGCTCTAGTTATCCTTCTACCAAGTCACACCATCCACCTCCCTCATCTCCAGCTCCTACTCCAGTGAGCCTGGCTTCCTCCCCAACCTGCACCTGCTTCAAGAGATGCTACCTTTTCCTGTTCGCCTGAGAATCCAATAAGCTGTCATTTGCTCCTATCTCCAAGCCTGGTTGTGTGCATTCTGGATCCAGCACCTACCACACAACAAACTACTCTGTGTGAGACGCTCTGGCTGTGTCCTAATGTCCGCCCTAATCACTATATAGGGCACTATATAGTGGTTATGCCATTTTAGATGAGTGTCCGAACGTTTAGTGGATAAAAAAAGTAGTGGACTCGAAATTTCCCACAATGCACCTTGAAAAGTAGAGATCATCAATGGAGATGAGCAGGTATATCCCGGATTGCTTTGCGAGAGCTCTCCTCGCAAAGCATCAAAGTTGAATTGTTGTAGTGGTGGTAAATAAAGATGGCGCAGGCGTTGGAGGCGGAGTTACGTGACCAACGGGGAGCGAAAAGTAGTGATTATCTGTTCGAACCGTGAGTTAACTGAGATTATAAAGTCCACTAAATAGTCCCCACTCTAAAAAGGAGGGATTTAGGGGTTAGGGCGGACGTTGGGACACAGACCCGGTCATCCTTCTCTGTTTCTCATAAACTAGCATTAGCCAGAGTGAGGCTTCATCTTTTTCCCCATACAGACTACCATAACCAGCAGAGCAGAGCTGCACGAAGGTAGCAACTGTCCACATCTGCATTTACTGCAAATCCAAACTACATCCAGCAGGTTAAAAGCAGAAAGTTTATATCAGCATAAGACATAAGCAACAGTTACAAGGTCATCTTGAAATGTCAGAAGCTGATCATTCTTCAGTAATAAAGGTATTAAATGGAAAAACTGTTTATCCTTCCAGGAATGACTGTCCTACTTTTAGTGTGTGTCAGAGTGTGCACAGAGAAAACACACAAAACAAGAACTCAGAATATGCAGGACTCAGTCAGCCTGCAAAATGAATCAGAACAGTGGTGGAAAGCATCTTTTCTCAAGTAAAAAATACAGCAGCATAACTCAAGTCTGCTAATTTGAATCTTAAACTATAACAATAACTAGAGAAGTTTTTCCCATTTTTAAAGTGAATGTTTAAAAAGAACTAACCCCTTATAAGCAACAGTTGTATTTTTCTAAATGTAAGACTTATTTTTACTGAAATAAGCTCTATTTTATCTTTATGGTAGTATGGTGTGATTATTAATTATATATATCAAAAAAAGAAATGTACTTTATTGCTTACCTTAAAAACTGAACAGATGTAGACATCAGGATGACGTGTAAGAGCTCCTCAACCACGCAGATGTTATTGTCTTTAATTCCAACACTGCAGAGGTGAACAGGAAGAGGTTGTCATACAAGAGATTCAAAGCAATTCATGTTCTATGCTGCAAAAATGAAAATAGTTACCTGATAGATGTGAGCTTTGGCAATGAGGGCAGAAGAGAACAGAGTAATTCAGCTCCTTCCACACCCAGTCTGTTATTGGAGAAACTAAACAGAGCAGAACAAATATAGAGTTCAATCAGAAGTGCTCAAACTACATGATTTAGGAGGAGAGGATCTTATTTGCACACCGATAATGGGTATAATTAGCATTTACCTTAACCAGAAACATGCCACATAAACACTAGGTGGTGCTAGAGTACTTGCTCTTTTACCTTCCCACACATGCCATGTCCTGCTGTTTCTCTCTATGCAAGCACACTGTGCAGAGTGGAGGATGCAGCTGGTGTAGCACCACCTCTTCTCATTACTAAGGCAGCTAGTGGCTCTGTGCGCCGTATAAGATGTGCCTTTTATAATATGAGCACCTGTCTTAAACATTGTCTGTGCATGTCACTGACCTTAACATACAATTTTTTAACTTTTAGCCACTGACAAAGCTGGAAGTAAGACTTAACTGATTGAAAAATAGAAACACTAAATCAGTCAGTTTTTCATGGAAAATAATACTTGATATGAAGTGTTAATCCCAGCAACCTCCACACACAAAAGCTTTATTCTTTGACTCTTAATGTGCGTTCAACAAGAATATAAGAAGTGACAATGTCAGAGACGTTAACTTTAATAAAAAAATAAAAAAAAGATAATGTGCTTGTGCTACTGGTACGCAGGTGAATCCCACATCAGATATCATGGGGGAGAGCGGTGGCTTGGTGGTTAGAGCAATGCGCTTGTGCTCTGAGAAGGTTGCAAGTAGCCGATTCGATCGCCACAGCCTGCACTCTGGGTCCCTGAGCAAGACCCTTAATCCCTGATTACTCCCCAAGCACCGCACAGTGGCAGCCCACTGCTCCCCAATGGGATGGGTTGAGATGCAGAAGTGAATTTCTCCATTGTGAGATAAAAAAATGTTTAATTATAATTATTATTAATAGTTATTATGAATTGATTGTAATAAAAACTGAACATGAATTTTCTAAGAATGCATTTTTTCCTGAGTCAGTACCTGATTTGGCTGATTTCAGAGTTTTTCATCAGGACCAGCTGTAGTGTAGCATGGTCGATCCTAAAAAACAAAGTTGATTAAGTTAACGACAAACATCTTGAACATGTTCTGTATCTGCACTGGGTTTTCTATCTATGAGGAGTATATGTTCTGGTCATCACGCCTGTCACCTGATCGTTTGAATGGGTTTGCAGAGCTGCAGGCAGCGGCACAGTAAGCGCACAGCTTCATCAGTGCCAATCCAACATTCTTCAATACTGAGTAAGAAAATTGAAGAGCTACAACATGTTAATGGTTAAATGCCATCGTCCTCTAAAATCAAATAGTGATTATCACTCAAATCCTACAGAGGCAAAAAAAAGTGAACTTTGGCTGCAATGCATGTCTGAATGCTCTCACCTGAAAGTGCATCCTTTTAGATTACAGTTAAAAACTGTCACAAAGTTTTCAATCCACTCAGACTGCAGCTTGTTGTTCTTTAATCTGAGTGACACAGATAAAACACAGATAAATTGGTTGTTTTAAGTTACATCGGAATATAGACTGAATATGAGAGCTGAAATATTTTAGCTTTTATTTAGATTTTAACTTTTTAGAAAACAAAATACATTTCCTGTCATAAATATTAGCATTGTTATTACATAAAAGCTGTTGCATATTAAAAATACTTTATTTCTAAAGTACTGAACTTTTACTATGAGGCTGAGAATTACTTACTCTACTTTGGTCAAACTGGGACAGCTGGACACAACCTCTGCTAATTCCAGCAGATGGTCACGTTGCAGCATGCTGTCTCTGACACTGGAGGACAGAAACAAAAAAAATGGTCTCTAAAAGTTTTTTTGGGGTGGTTTCTAATAACTAAATCTTGTATTATTTGAATATACAATCTTATAAAGGATAGCAAGAACACAAAGGAAAACGGCTTAACCAGGTGCTACTCAAAAACCACAAAGTTCAGTTTCATTATTTCCCAATAGTTTTTTTTTGGGGGGGGGACCCAAAAAACTAAAGATTCTGTTTAAGTTCTGTTATTTTTTTTTGCAGAAAAGCCAGTTTTAAACATAGCCATAGAAACGGGGTGCTGACCAAGAAGACATCTCTGGTCCAAAGCTGACCCCTTCTGGTTTGACTGAAATTTGCAGTTGCCCAAAACAACATCAAATATCTTCAAAGTTTGAAGACGTTTCGCTTCCCATCCAGAAATGTCTGCCGTAGTGTGGATCTTCAGGCTTTATATGATAGCCCAACAAAAGCCTTGTTAAGGCTTAGAAAACATGCAAATTGAACTGAAACAGGTCCACTCCTTTGTAATGGAAAGTCCTTAAGGTTGAAACCTCGAATTTCACAAAAACCAATACCACAAATTTAGAATTGATTCCCTCCCACTATCACCTCAAATCTCATTGCCATACAGTTGGTCAAAACATCGCTGCACGTGAAACCTGCACCTACCTTCATGTTGTTGGCCTAACCTGCTGGCCAACAATGACCTTAACGACTCCCCGAAACGTCTTCAAACTTGGGAAAAAAAAGTCCAGTGGTTTTGTTTTTAACATTTTTGGTATGGCTGTGATCTGGATGACTGATAATCTACACCAGCAATATACAAATATCTTCTGCAGAATATTTTTATGATCAGACGGGACAAAGAGGATTTTTTTTTTGACTAAATGACATGAATTATGTTTGCTTTGAAACCTAACATCAATCTCCTAAAATGTCCCCTCATGCATGGTGGCATCATACTGTGTGGAGCTGCGTATCTACCAGCAGCACAGGTATACTGAATGTATGGAAATAACAAAAACGGACGGTTTCCAGAAAACCGTCCCATTCAAATAAATAAAGCACTTCTCCAGAACAGGAGTCAAACATCCGGACAGAATTATGCCAGAAGCTTGTTGATGGCGCAAAAAGTTAGGTTATAAGAGATATTTACCTAAAGGGGGTCTATGTGGGGATTTACAGACTCTACGTATAATTTTGAGCCAAACTGAATAAAAGAAATAAATGATTTTCTGATAAATCTATAAAAGACGAAAATAAAGGAAATTTTACCCATCAATGAGTATTTTAAACTAATCCTATCAATATAATCAGAGAAACTGTAACGAAGGGATAGAGCATTCGACACTTGAATAAAAGCCTCATATAACCCTCAGATCATTTTAAAACATGCAGAAAAGGATCAAATTAGACAGTTTTTTTCTTCACTATATTAAATCCAAACAGAAAAAATATGCCAAAATAAAACGGTTAGGGAGAAAAAAATAAACTGTTAAACATATTAACCAAACTCCTTCTCAGGAGGGTGGAAGAACTCTATAGACAGAAAATATCTTAATCATTTCTCTTCACCTGTGGACATTCTTAATAACATTGTAGAAGTTTAAGCCCCATTTTCTCCAAGGTGTACAAATCTGTTCTCAGCTTTGTAAAGTAAAAATGAAGGTAATCTAAGGAGAACCAATATTGAATGTTAATAATATTTTAAACTTAATAAAACTTTAACATGATCCAAAATGATCAAAAAACTATGATTAAAACTGTTGCTAAAGCTTCAGTTAGTTCTTCAGAGTCAAGCTGAAAAATCTGAACAGCACTTTCTGAGACAATTACTTATTCAGTAGATCTGGATCTGCTTTGCATCTGAAGTTTCTGCAACATATTATTAAATTAAAATGCACCTACATTAAGGGATAAGATTGAATTTGTCTTTTAAACCCAAACATACAAAAATTATAAACTTTAAAAGGCTTAAAACAATTAGACATGATCTCATTTCATACTCTTACCTGAGAGTTTTTTCACCTTCTTCTTTTTGTCTAAACCATATCAGACACCTTTCATCTTCCCCCAAACTAACAGAAAATACAACAGTTATAGGACAAAGAAACAGGAATGTTTGTTTGTGTGTGTTTATGACAAATTTACCTGACTTCCACAGCAGAAACGTTAGTGCAGGTACACAGGGTTCTGGCTACATCTAACAGCCCTAGCCGGCTCAGGCTGTTCTTACTAAGACTGAAAATGGGAAAAAAAGTATTAAAAGATCCGCGCATTTTTATTGATAGGACATATTGCATCGATAATAAAGGAATCATTATAGTGTAATAATGATAAATGTGTCTTACTTTATGTAGCTGCTGACTCTAAGCCTTGGGAGATATTTCAATAAACATCTCACCCCTACATCTTCCAGCTGGTTTCCTGATAAACTGTAGCAGAAAAGCCATATAGTAAGTTTAAAAAAAAAAAACTATGGGTATGTTACATTTAGATAATGCGTAACTTGCTCTAGTTCATACTCAAGAAAAGAGAGCTGCTGGGCCTGCTGCAGAATCCCAAATAGGCTGTCCAAAAATACGTAGTTGGGTCCTTTGAAAGAAAAATCTGTCAGCCTGAAAAGAGATTAAATACAGATTCATTAAATCAAAACTCTGCAGCCTCTAACAGTTTTCCTTCCAAGGTTTTATTAGCATTAATTGAATTTATTGTCACAACTCTGACCAGATTCCCTGACAATGCTTTAAACTTCTTTACTTTCTACTTCTCTGTGTTCATTGATCTTCATGATGCCGAGGGTTTTAACATATATATTTATATGAAAAATGAATTAAACTACAGTAAGGTGGTGTCTGTTGACTGATTACTAACTTCTGAAGTTCTAATAATTGATTGTATTAGACTTAATTCAGTGTGTCAGAGAAAATAGAACTAAAAAAATGAGGCTTACATATTTCTGATTTTTTTTTTACATGAAAAAATTTAGAAAACAGTTTTTTTTATTCATTCTCCATCACATTTAACCATTTGTGTTGGTCTGTCTCTAATATTCTGAGTAAAATACATTGCAGTTTGATACTGGGATGTAATCAAAGGGTGTGAACACATTAGCAAAGCACTGTAAATATGAACAGACAAACATAAAAAGCCTTTGTTTTCTGATTAAAGCAAGTGACTGTAGGTAAGTTTCATATTTGGCCTATTTGGTACACAAAAAGTGAAACTAGACCAGGCTGAATGTGATGTCCTGTGGTAATAATAATGGTTTAACAAGGTGATCAGCTGGGAAAAAACAGAAGTTAGACATGCAGAAAAAGGCACTCATAAATGCTCAGGTATGTTCTGGACTGTTGATTACCAACCTGCAGCTTACTTCTTCCATCTTTACCTCTTCAAAATAAATGAAGGATTCACCCTGAGGACTGAAAAAGGAAATAAAAGCATAAATTAACTAAAAAATATCAATGAAAACATATATACAAAGAATCTAATGAAAACATATACAGATACTGTGCAAATGTATTATTTGTAGCCATAGATGTCAAGACAATTACATATAAAAATATTAAAAAATCACATTTAACATTTATGTGAAAGCACCTGAGCTCTGCTGATGAGACTCGATGATTGCCAGAGAAACAGCTGATTAGTGCGAGCGCATCATCAGGGGACGAGATACTGTCACTAACGCTAAAAGCAAAGGGAGAACATTTTGTTATCAGCAAAAATTCCAAACAGATACCAGTTTAAAGCATTAATAACATAAATTTGCCTTACATCCATACTAAACAAGTCATTCCTGACATTTACTTGGGTATAAAGCATAAAATGCCTGAAGACAAAAATCCAAAAAGACCAATACGTCAGGCATAAAAAACTGCATCTTTTATCTCTGACTGATCATCAGATATTAAATTTCTCACAGCATAACGGTTGTTTTTTTTTTTTTTTTTTTTACATTGTGGCAATACTACAACACAACTGTTAAAGTTTTCAAACTTTCGGGAACACAAGAAACCCTGAATTGTTTTTTTGTTTGTTTATGACGCAAGAGAGTTACACTCCAAACCAACATTCATATAATATTGTTGTGGGATTTTCTGATCAGATTGTGACAAGTGATATGAAATTAGAATTCAATTCTGCTTAGTTTCACTTTACTTTTTTGACAATCTGGATCCTGTACATCTTTCTGGTTTACCTTCTGTTGTTTTGTTTTTCTCTGTCTCCCTCATTTGGACTTTCAGCTCATTAGTTCAGCTTTCTTGTCTGGCAATGCACAGCTTACATATTACTTTTTTATTCAACATAAAACTGATGAAAACTAGACTAAAACCTTTTTGAGTTTTAATTGACCAAAACCAATTAAAACTATCACATATAGTCATGACTAAAATATATCTAAAACTAATAATACTTTTCTTCCTAAAGATAAAAACTAAGACTAAATCTAAGAAGGCTGTCAAAAACAACATTGGCCTGGATTTGATATTTATCAAGTTCTCCTGTAAAAACAACTCCTAGTTTTAGTCTGGGAGGGAGACACTATTTCTATTTTTAAGACTGGGCCTAAAACCTTCTATTAGATAAAGCTTATAGTTAGAGTGGCTCAGGTTATCCTGAGCTATCCCTACAGTTATGCTGCTATAGGTGTAGGCTGCTGGAGGACATGGGGACCACATTTCATAATTCCAGGCGCGGATTCAGGCGGGGGCGCGGGGGGCGCGCGCACCCCCCTTTGGGATATGGCAAGCCGATTGGGCCAATAATCGTCCTTACAATAACATGCAGTTCCAACCCGTATTTTACGCGAGCGCGCGTTTTTTACGTCACCGCGCGTTCTGGCTGGTGGCTGGAAACGCGCGGTGACGTAAAAAACGCGCACTTGCGTAAAATACGGGTTGGAACTGCGCGTTATTGTACGGACGATTATTGGCCCAATCGGCTTGCCATGCAACAATAGCGTCGTTGCGAGCACGAGGAGACCTGGAAGATTTAAGGCCAAACAAGAAAACCAGACAACCATCTCTTTTAAGATTCTGGTCCAATCCAACAGAAGGGTAAGTAGAAACCAACTTTATCACTTTATTTTCTAAAGGCTTATATCTATAATCTAAATAACACAGATTGAAATGTTTATATCTTGTTTTCTATTCTTCAGTGGACCTTGCACAACTACAGAAAATGACCACAGCGTTGACCAGTATGAACGTTCAGATATTGGAGACACACAGATAAAAGGTATGATGATTGCTAGAAAATGTTGATAATGAGAAAACATTATCAACATTGTTGATTGTTGATAAACAAGTTGTTTAAAGTTGCAAAGTAATGCAATTGCAGGAATACTTTAACCAGTAACAGGAAAGTTATGAAAATTGCAGCGTTTGATAAGTAATAAAAAGAGTGTACAATTAACAAAAATAAGCAACATTAGTTGCCATTGACATGTATACAATAGTTATTTTGTAGTGTGTATTTTTGGGTCTAAACCTGTACCACATGTGTTGTACTGTTAAAAATAAGAATGGTGTCCTTTACGAAAACATTACTAACTTTTATCAATTGGTAAGGATCCAAATCAATGAATGCTCTAAGCACATGCTTGGAGTCTAAGGGAGTCTTGTTAACATTGTGATATGATAACTACAAATCTGGTGTTATTTGTTTTCAGTGCATTTAATATTTTACAATAAAAATACAATTTACTTTTAAGTAAATTCAGTTTTGTGCACCTGGTGATATGTGTTCAGTGAATTTAATAATTTACGATAAAAACACAACATTAAATTGTTTTGTGGCTCCTCCTGAGATTACACGGTTCACCTGATCACAAAAATAATTTTCTTTTCCAGATGAACAACAAGGACCGTGTTTCGATGTAAAGACAACCGAAGAGCCGGCGCTCAACCAAGCGGATTTGCCCCAAACAACTTACGACATAGGTGAGTAATAGTTGTATTTTTTTCAATGTCAAAACAACTAATTTTGTTTTACATGATTGACTTTTTTGCTTAATCTTGAAATCTTACATTTCATAAAAATTATTTCATAATAAAGCAACACTATACAAAAGCTTCATGAAGGCAGATTTACAACTCCACCAGCACCCATGCAAAATTGACAATGTAAATATCAATGTTATTACAGATATATCAAAGGCCAAGGACCGGATTAGTGAAATGGACGACTCTGGAAAATTCCAACTTCTTCAGACCAGAAAACCCAAATCTTTCAATTTCCCTGCCAGAGAAGTTAAAGACAACCGAAGAGCCAGTGGGGTGACCAAAAGAACATGCCAGAGGGACTGGCTGGACAAGTATGACTTTTTATCATTTTTACATGATATAAAGATGATCTACCATCAGGATCAACATTCAGGCAGGAAGTGAAGTTGTGGCACACAAAGTGGTCATCATCAGTGGAAAAACCCAGCTCTCTCCCTGAAATTCTAAAGATAACAAATATGAAGTGCTACCCAAACATTTATATGATTCTTCCCCTTCTGTCAGTCATTCCTGTTACCAGTGCTTCTGTGGAACGTGCTAACTCGGGTCTTAAAGCAGTGAAAACTTTGCTGAGGTCAACAATGGGACAGGAAAGGTTTGTGGCTTTGCTACTTTTGTATTTGCACAAGGACATTCAGTTAGACATCAACAAAATCATAGACACATTTGCCTAGAAGCATCCCAGAAGGTTGACATTTGTAAACTCATTATCATCATCATAAAGTTTGTAGTAGAGAACAATATTCTTTGTCTGGTTTAACTTTTTTTTTTTTTTTTAACAGTTTATCTTGTTAAAATATATTCAAAACTCCTTTGTCTTACTTGAACCATACTTGAACCCAAGTCCTTGTTTTTTTTTATTTTTTTTTATTTAATGTTCTGTGTAAATATCATTTCTGGAAATAAAGAAACTCCTTGTTTGATTAATTGTTGATAAGGATCTTTTTTTTTCTTCAAACTACCTTTTCACCTTGTGCATGCTTTAAAAACCGAGAGATCCTTTTTTAATTACAATAATGTAATCATGCTAATTCTACTTATGTTCATCCATTAAAATTATCAATTATAAACCCTTGGATGAATAATTAGGGTAGCGTGAAAGAGTGAAGATGGTATTCTTTGGTCTTTTAGCCTCACATTGTCTAGACCTGTGACCCTTGACCCCGTGACCCCATGACCCTTAGGTGCGCACCCCCCTTTGAAAATTCCTGGATCCGCCCCTGAATTCTGCTTGATTCTTTTCATTTCTCTCAGTCCTTATTATTTGTTAGTAAACCCCTTACTTAAAAGTTCTCTCAGCATAGCAGCTTAATCTAGCCTGGTGTTCTCTTTAGCTGTGACACCGTCCTAGAAGTCAATCACAAGCAGGGCTGATGCCTTCAACAACTTCCTTCATAGATGTAAGATGAAAGTGCTTAGTCCAGTAAACTAGTGTATCGTTACTTTTTCTAACATATAAGTATTTATGGATTGGTGATTGTATATTTCTGTTGTATGTCTGCTTTTGTCTTCTTTAACCCCCAAATTTTCCTTGACAGAATGCTGCTCATATTGAGCCTAGTTCTGCCAGAGGTTTATTCCAGTTACAAGGGAGTTTTTCTTGTCCACTGTTGCTACACGTAATGATCCATGGTGGAAACACCTGCAGAGTCAACAACAAAATGTAAGCAAAAAGATACTGTAACTACATCCTCATCCAGGGGAAGCAAATTCTGCAAAGCTGATATCCTTAGACAGAAAACTCTGAACCAATCTGTCTGAATGATTTAATTGAACTGTCTCTGTAAACTGCATTTAGGTAACATGTGTTGTTAATTTACAGTTTATAAAAAAACTTAACTGGATTATTTCTCTTCATCCAACTTTAGCTGGCACTTTATTCTTGCTCCCTAAAATCTGATCTACATCAGTTTATCAGCCTCTTGGCTCTTAATCAGTGATCACTTCCTCCTCCATATAAAACTACCCGGTATTTTCTTGGCTAACTGTGCTTGCTAATGGTTTCTGCCTCTTCATGCTTCAATTCTTTTCCCTTGAGGTTGGTGAACCCCTTAAAATTTTTGTTTTAGTCTCCAAAATGTTTCCTGGTTCAGTTTCCATTCACCATGACTTCTTATTGCGTCCTTCTGTCAGTGTTTTCAGTCCTTACCTTTTTATTATGACATCATGCAGACTGCACAGGCACAACTCAGTAAAAGTCAGTATTTTATGGACAGTAGTCTGACGGGAAAGGGGGCATGAGAGAGGGGGAGAGACATGTGGGAAAGGACCACAGGCCAGATTCAAACCCAGGTTGCCCGCGCCGAGGACTAAGACCTCCATACATGGATCGTCTGCACTATCCACTGTGCCACCAAAGCACGCCCAGTGAAAGTTTTACTTTTTTTAAATCCTTGAATTCTGAAAGGACATTTTCCAACAAATTCTTTGATTTCTGTAGAATATTGAAGTCTTACTTGAGCCTCCGAAAGGACAACATCTTTGGCAACACTCTCATCAGATTTTCAATAGATTTCTCAATAAATGAGCATCGAGTGAATCTAAAACAACACAGAATATTATAAATATTATAATATTATAAATGTAAAGTCAAAAGCGAGTTAATAGGGAATGCTGTAGCTCACTCCAACTCCAAACTGAAGCGACACTGGACCAGTTTCCTGCACACTTTGTTTACATCACATGGTGTCAGTGAGGTTTCATGAACTCTGAAAAATACAAGAAAAAACTCCAGCCATGTGTTCATTTAGGCCCTGAAAAAATGCTCTTTAACTATGATTCTTTTTACTGTACCTGAATATCTTTGTGTTAGGTTTTTCATCACTAAAATGAGAGAACAGTAAGTAAAATACATTAAATGTAATAAAGTCATAAATTAGAAACTTTTATAGAAATATTTTCCTACCTTGTGTCAGAACTGAACTGTAGCATCACCTGGTCTTTGCCTCCGTTACTTTAAAAAAAAACAGACACAAGCAATAAAGTTTTTTGCAAACAATAAATATCATAAGTACCACATTTGTTAATAGATGCCATGGTTGATGATAGATGTCTTCAGTGTGCAAAAATCCTTTTCCTAAAATTGGTTTGGTCTCACTTTTATTTGTACAATCTTGATTTTATGATTGAATGAAGTTGAAATCAAGCTAGGCACCAATTTATATATACACTATATTGCCAAAAGTATTTGCTCACCTGCCTTGACTCACATATGAGCTTAAGTGACATCCCGTTCCTAATCCATAGGGTTCAATATGACGTCGGTCCACCCTTTGCAGCTAGAACAGCTTCAACTCTTCTGGGAAGGCTGTCCACAAGGTTTAGGAGTGTGTTTATGGGAATTTTTGACCATTCTTCCAGAAGCGCATTTGTGAGGTCGCACACTGATGTTGGACGAGAAGGCCTGGCTCTCAGTCTCCGCTCTAATTCATCCCAAAGGTGTTCTATCGGGTTGAGGTCAGGACTCTGTGCAGGCCAGTCAAGTTCATCCACACCAGACTCTGTCATCCATGTCTTTATGGACCTTGCTTTGTGCACTGGTGCACAGTCATGTTGGAAGAGGAAGGGGCCAGCTCCAAACTGTTCCCACAAAGTTGGGAGCATGGAATTGTCCAAAATGTCTTGGTATGCTGAAGCATTCAGAGTTCCTTTCACTGGAACTAAGGGGCCAAGCCCAGCTCCTGAAAAACAACCTCACACCATAATCCCCCCTCCACCAAACTTTACACTTGGCACAATGCAGTCAGACAAGTACCGTTCTCCTGGCAACCGCCAAACCCAGACCCGTCCATCAGATTGCCAGATGGAGAAGCGCGATTCGTCACTCCAGAGAACGCGTCTCCACTGCTCTAGAGTCCAGTGGCGGCGTGCTTTACACCACCGCATCCGACGCTTTGCATTGCACTTGGTGATGTATGGCTTGGATGCAGCTGCTCGACCATGGAAACCCATTCCATGAAGCTCTCTGCGCACTGTTCTTGAGCTAATCTGAAGGCCACATGAAGTTTGGAGGTCTGTAGTGATTGACTCTGCAGAAAGTTGGCGACCTCTTCGCACTATGCGCGTCAGCATCCGCTGACCCCGCTCCGTCAGTTTACGTGGCCTACCTCTTCGTGGCTGAGTTGCTGTCGTTCCCAAACACTTCCATTTTCTTATAATACAGCTGACAGTTGACTGTGGAATATTTAGGAGCGAGGAAATTTCACGACTGGATTTGTTGCACAGGTGGCATCCTATCACAGTTCCACGCTGGAATTCACTGAGCTCCTGAGAGCGACCCATTCTTTCACAAATGTTTGTAAAAACAGTCTGCATGCCTAGGTGCTTGAATTTATACACCTGTGGCCATGGAAGTGATTGGAACACCTGATTCCAATAATTTGGATGGGTGAGCAAATACTTTTGGCAATATAGTGTATATATTGCCCCAAATGAAGGCCAGTGAAGGGATCAGTTTACCAGGACAAGCTAGGTGTTAACAGGCTTTGACAGGATTACATTCCAGCTTAGCTTTAAAGGGGTCATAGAATCATTATATACGGTGTTAGGTGCTGGTCCATAAGGTCTCTGAATAGGGTGTGTGACACTGGTTGGGCTGAAAATGGCATATTTGCTGTTCTATGAGCCTTAATGCAAGCCTGGTTATAAGACCCATAATGAAATGACAGGTTTTCCTCCTTATATGGTATGCTCATGAATATTTAGATGAGCTGTGCGCTGATTGGTTGGTTTACAACGAGCAAAGCTGCTGAGCAAAGACACATCATAGCAATAAGCACTCACTCACTGAAACATCCAATTGTTGATATGGTAGAGTGACCAGACGTCCTCTTCTTCCTGGACATTTCATACAGTACCTAATACCTAAAATACCTGCTTTTCATGCCTAAAAAATGTCCGGGGGGGGGATTTCAAAATCGTCTGGGATTTTGGTCGACTACAGTGCAGCAGAACCAAGCCGTCAGCTCCAGGGGACCAAACCTGACCCAGTGACTGTAGCCTGTACACAGGTGGTCCCGTGTCCCGTACCGTCACCGGGTCGGGTTCGTTCGCTCCGTCCCTGGCTGGCTTGCTGCCCCCGTGCACCAGGGTTCCCGGACCAGCCCCGGAGCTGATGACTTGGTTTGAATGCCCAATCCGGTCCAGTCAGCGGCCCAGAAGCCCCCCCCCCCCAACAAAAAAGAAAGTGTCCTCCTTTTCAGAAACCCAAATCTGGTCACCATAGATATGCTAGCACTGCTATCAACAGCTTAGCCACAAAATTATATTTACAGCTTGCAGTTGTGACTTACGGTCAGAACAGCCCCTCATTTCAGTAAAAGAAGTTTAGCAAATCCTTCTTTGAACTGTCCAAGATTTAGAAAGCTGTCTTCGGTAAAATGCTTAGAGCAAATGAACAGCTGAGCATCAAACTTTGCAGGGATCTTCTGATACACCAAAATAATCCATGCCTGTTGATTCTTCGGATCCTTGGGAAGACTGTGAAAATTTCCCCCTTTCTCCGTGCAGCCTGGAACACAGCATTTACGCCCCTGGTTCTGGCTCATTTTCAATGGAGGAACTTGCTGCTTTGTAATTCTTGCAGCAGTAAACCCAACTGTAGGCTAAACAGCTAAACTGGTGTCTTACATCTACCTCTACTCATGTTCTTGGGTCAGTGAACCAGTGGGCTGGTCTATATGTCAATTTCGGTGCATGACAATAGTACAGAACAGAACATAGCATAAGCCCTCCATTTCACAATTGTGCACTACATTCTGTTAGTCTATCTGTTCCCAGCTACTGCTTTCATCTGGAACAAATGACACCTAAACCTCTTCTTTTTAGTTCCTAGATTTTCTGAACCTGGTTCTGAAGTTTGAATCAGACTTAGCTTTTAATAACAGGTGCTGACAGGCTGTGCTCTGATAAAATCTAATTACACACCAATATAAACAAAATGTTACCTTGTGTATATTGATGTTAATCTGTGAATGACACACAAAGCATCTGCCAGCATTACCACTCCATCCACGCTGATGCTATTGGTGCTGAAACTGAAAAAAACAACATGCAGGGAATATAATAATGCAGTCGGCAACAGAGCTTTGTGTAGATAACAGTTTCAGAGAGCAAACATAAAAGCAAACATCACTATTAAGTAAAGAAGAAACATAACACCAAGTTCTCTAAAACAGATTCTATGTCAGTTCACAAAAGCTTACACCAGAAAACAAAATAACAATCACAGCATTCTCAGATTAGCTAAAAAACTTACTTCACTTGTTGGACTCGGCTGAGATGAGGCAGGAAATCCAACAACTTCTTTAGTCCTTTGTCGCCTAATTTGTTAAAGGACAAGCTGGAAATATAAAGTAAAGCAAGACTAGAGTAATTCACAGCGTACAGAGTTGAATAGTATTGTTAGTTACGGTCTGTTTTTATACTGCCATTATCTTACTCAAAATGAGAGAGATCAGAGGACGTTCCCAAACTTCTCCAAACTCTTTCCAGGTCATTGGGTTGAAGATTACAGCAGCTAAGGCTGAAAGACGATGCAGAATTCTGTTATATTTTTTAATATAGCAATATGAGATTGTAATCATCAAGATGAAACTAAAGTAAAAATACATTTTATCAACTGTTTTTAATGTGGAGCAGAAGCAGAGATTGGGACACCATGAAAATTAATTTTAATTTCAAGAAAAAGAAATTGTGACAATGGAGTAACTCATTGGTTCCCAAACTTCCTCCCTCTGATTAAAAGAGTGTTTTACTGCCCCCCCCCCAACCAATCATTTTGACAGTTGAACAAACAAAAAATCAACTGCAATTGCAACAAAATAAAATTCAATTTCCTTTACATCACAAAGTTACCATTGCTTATGATGGCATACAGATATTTAATTAAGTCTGTTGGAGAAGGGATGCTAGCAGCTCTCGAGGATTTGAGTGGGCCACCCTTGTGTTAAGAAAACAATAAATGCAAACAGGACAATCACTAAAACTCCATTAGACATAAAGTACTAAATTAAACTCAAAATTCAACAGATTGAAACCTTTTGCTGAAGAAATGAAAAATTTATCTCCAGGTATTTGACTGTTAAATCATAATTAGGACATTTGATGAGAGACAGCAGGCACAAATCGTGGCAGCGACACCTGCGATGGCGTCAGAGGAGGTGCCAGGCAGCCTGCCACTAATTCTTATGACCTGCCGTGTCACAGGAGCAGCAGCAATGGCATCTGCCACTGATTTCTATGTCCCACCACCGCATCACAGCTGGTGTTATACAGCCCTTCTGTCTATTTTGGTTATTTTGAATGACAGCCACACTGGAGCAGATTGGTGACAAAAAAACTTTTGAGGGTAGAGTTACATTTCCCAGAGTGATTAATATGGACAACAGAGAACAAAATAAAACTCTTCAGGCCATGAAGAATTGGGATGAATTACGATGACAGCTCTCCCGACTACGACAAGTTCTGCTCTGTCATTATTGATGTGCAAAATCTCAAGGTTTTTTTCAAGATATTAGGAACAATAATTACTCTTCGTGGCAGGTTTCTCAATAATAAAGTTGTCCTTTACATTTTGAGTTTTTATTAATTGAAAAATGACATCATCAATTGAAAGTACCTATTTATTTACTTGTTTACTCAGTAGCTCATAACTATCCTAGCATCCCGTTTGACAATAATCAGCATTGCTTCCTTGAAAACAGCAGCAGCTACCATGAAATGTTGAAGGCTTTTACACCCGGTCTGGCAGCTTGGTAGAATCCCGGCATTCTCTGGCATTACCGTGGCACCCAACGGCCCCTGACTTTATCCCAGCAATGTCCAGCGAATTTCATGTAATTGTTTTGAAATCACCACATCAGTTTTTCTTATAACGTGTCAAACCATTCATACAAACAGGTACCTTATAATTTTTTTTATTAAATTGTTTAAAGTTTTTTATTAAATGATGTGAATTTAGCACATCATTAATTGAAAGTAAATATAGAACAGACATTAAATAACCCCAAAATCAAACCATTTACCCATAAACAGCAATAGAAGTGCAGCAGGTGGCCTGTCAGTTTAGTGAAACCTTGTGGCAGGTTAAAGTTCTACAAGCTTTTATTAGAAATAATATAAGTAAATAATGATTGTTTGGAAGTAGTTATAGACTAACAGGTGTGCTGCATGGTACCTTTTTTGGCAGACGCATGCCACTGGAAGTGCCACTATTCTCCAGCTGACACCGGAAGTGCATCTACCAGATGCCGCTGCCACAAATTGAGCTTGGATCTGCTGCAATTGTTTGAACACTGAAGCTGCAAGAGCACAAAGATTTCTATACGTACCAGAGAGTTTTGGAAAAAAATTGTTTAGTTCTATCTCTCCCTCCAGAGAAAACAACAGAAACTTCAACTGGATCCTGCAGCCTGTGAAGTAAAGTGAAGTTAGGGCACAAGTGAGAACTGATTGCATGAATCTAAGTCACTTCTGGGTTGTCTGATTACAGTGAATCAGGGAAACCCAATGATGGCTTAATATGATTGCACATTTTGATGTTATAAGCAATACAGTGTGGTAAATCATTGCATTGGTGGTAGACATTAGTAAAACATTAAACCTGTTTTGTACCTGATGTTTATGTCCATCACAGAATCACAGTCAGACAGCAAGGAGGTGATATCAACCACACCCTGCACTGATGAGCAGCTGCCATTCAAGCTGGCATGAGACAAAAAACATGGTGCTGTTTATTTCCATTAGTAACGAGCATTTAGAGGTGGCTGGGATGGATGTTTTGACTTACATAATCCTCTCAGTGATGCAGAACCTTGGCACAAACTGAGTCAGCATTCTCAAACTCTCCTCGTCCCAATCGCCTCCAGAAAGACTGAGGTACAAAAACAGAAAGGTCAAACACACATTCTGGTTATTTCCGGTATGAAGTTTTTAAACATGACATAAAGTGCAGTGACAAATTATTTTCCCATCTACCGATTCCATTTTATTTTCTTTGCTTATTTGTGACTCTGAAAGGTTTCAGATCTGTTAGCAAATCTTATAGATGATCGGATTTAAAACAAAACCCCTTTCATTGTGAATTATCCAACCTTAGAGATCTAGCCCCATGCTAGAAAAGATTCTTTCATCCTTGCTATAAGGCACTGTTAACTGGCCCATTAGTCTTGGCTTATCTAAATTAACTCCTTTTCTAAACTGTGTAAGCATTTTGGATACTACAAGATTATTCTACTTCTATCTGCTTGTTGCCACCTTCTAGCCATGTTTGGGTCTAACCAGCAGCATACCTGTACACTTCTATCTCAGCATCTGTGTGTTTTGCCTCCATGCTGATAATAAATGGACTGCTTTAGGTCATTTTGTAGCATCTCAATCTAATCTGGGTCCAGACTTTGACTAGGCAATGCCAAAGTAATTTTTGTTGTTTTGTTTAAAGCAATTCAGCGGTAGACTTGCTGGTGTGGTTTGGATCAGAATGCTGCATAACCTTAGTTAAGGTTAAAAAAAAAGGTCAAATATTCTACAGTCGCAAACCCGCACCAAACCATGACACTAAAACCCCTGTGTCAGACTATGATGTTCTTTTTGGAAATGGTGGTAGTTTTGTGGCAGATGTAACTCTGATTAAATTCATTATTTCACATAATATTTTTTCAAAGGTCTTGTGGATCAATGACCAAGAATCATGAACTAATTGAAACAGGTTATGGCTCCAGAGCATTTTGTGTTGTTTCATGTTCCGAAATAACCTTCTGGATAAGTTGCTTAGTGCTCCTAAGAGTAGTTTTAGCTCATTATAGTGCTGAGACGACACTGGTGGAAGTCACTAAGGATATTTGCATGGCCTCAGATAATGGAATTGTATCTGTACTAGTCCTGGTAGATATCAGTGCTGCATTTGATAGTCGGTCATAGTTAGAAAGAGAATTTAAGGCCCCTGCACAGTGTGTTCATGTTAATAATAATTGTTCCTAAAGCTCTAGGTATCTATATTTGTCTATAAATCCCGAAAATTATAATAAATCATGAAAATAAACAATTACATACACTACAGGCATGTCTTGAAGATATAAACACCTGGATGACTCAGATGTTATTTTCTTTGGATCAGGGTCTTTGAAAAAGAAGCTGATCATACAGCTATGACTGTAAAGTATCTCTAGATTAAATATGTTAGGAATTGCCGATTTATAAATAAACTGAATTAAACTGAATTGAATAGTTACTTTTCTAAAGTGGCATGCCAAACAAAAATTTAGAAATTAAAGTTAATTTAGGATTATTTTGGAAAACCTTGTCAAGATAAAAAATGTGACAAAAAGTGAATATAAGCAGTAGATATATCTGTATGAAGACAAACACTTTCTGCAGCTCTTCATAAAAACATGCTGAGTGTAGAAATGTGGTGCATTTTTTATGTGAAATTGTAAGCAAACATGCTTGGATTCCACTTTTTCCTTTCACCTAATAGAATCTCTGAAAAAAGTTAGTGTGTGTCTGAGGGTACTTACTCCAGAACAGACATGGAGCGAAAGCAGGACAGCGACTTGGCAAGGTTTTGCATGGTAGATTTACTCCACTTCTGATTCAACAATCTAAAATTCAAAACACTCAAAATTACATGCAAATAAAAAACAAATACTGCTTTTGGAGCAGTAGTGCCATTGCATTTTACTTGTACCTGTTGTTGTTCTGTTTTTCCTTATCACATAAGTAGCTATGATTGAGAATCTAATTTATTAAGACACGTCTGTGCTTCAAGTTTTTCATCAACTAATGAAATAATGCCAACGATCTTACTGCACAAAAAGACAGTTAAAAATCAACATATATGCACTTGTCTTTTTTTTAAATCTGCTCACATTTGTCCTGTTGAAATAGATCCAAGTAAACTATGAAGCTCTGTGGCAGTGGACACATTTATCAACCTCAGCATGTAAAGCAATGCAAGGTTTTTTAATCTATTGATCAAACAATCAAGAGGATCCAAATTTCTCAAGGTTTTAAATTAAATGATGCATAAAGTCTTCTTCATTGGAAGCAAACAGAAAGCATTCACCCAGCTGGTCTCACTTTGCAAATGCAAAAGCTGCAGAGCTCTAAACAAACAGGGACTGTTGTTTTAGACTGTTTATCAATCCTACATAATTTAAATCCCCTCCTAATTCTATTCATCTATTTTGCAGATGTTTAATTTCTGTACATAATATTGATATCTGAACAACAACAAAAAAAACATTTTAGGAGTTAAACCTATGGCAAAGCCAACAGGGTTTGTAAAGTCAAATCATACCTCACTGTTGGCTCTGACTTAATTTTATGGCTGCAAAAAAGGAATATAAAAAAGGTTAGACATTTTTTAAATTATTATTATTATTTTCTGATCAAAAATCTCACCTGTTTGAATCAGATTTTTGTGAAAAAGTTACTGTTAACTCTTTTACCCCACTGCAAGGAAGGAGAGAAAAAAAACATTAACGAAAGACTAAATCTGTTCCCTTGACTAAATGTTTTGTGCAGAGGCTTAAAAAAACCCAGTGGGAAATATTAAGTGACAGTCAATATGAAATTTCTGTAATTTTATAAATTAGAATGCAAATACACTGCTTGATCAGAAAATGAAACACAAAAGCAATGCCTCCCTAAGTTAACCAACACTGAGCGTCTGTGTGTTTTCTTACTCTGCATCAACCTGAGGGATGTTCAAACAAGTAGACACACGTTCAACAAGACACTCTGCTGCTTTCAAGGAAGTGTTATTTCGTCCCAGCCTGCACAAAAATAAAAAATAAAAACAACTGTAGTCGACCACTTTAATGTTCAAATAAAGTTTAAGAGCAACGTACTTTACAGAGACCAGGTTTTGTAGTTTGGCAAGAATGTCAGCAATGTGTCTGATTCCTTCATTTTGCAGATTATTGTCACTAAAACTACGGAAAAAATCAGAAAAAAAAACATGTTTCATATTTTTTGCATCACTTTAGGATCTTCTCATTATCTGTCATCCATGTTTATCTTTAAAAAAAATGAGCTTACTTGAGTTCAGTGATGCTGGGACAGCTCTGCAAACCAGAGGCCAAACTCGCAGCCCCTGCAGCAGTCAGACTGGCACCACAGAACCTTTCAAAGAAACAGATGAAAACTTATGAGGGGAAGATTTTGTTTACCTTGTTCAGTACAATTCGAAGTGAAAACTGGACCCTACTCTAGTTTTCTTAGCGCTGTGAATCGAGGTAGAACGGAGGACAGCTTCTCTGCAAACTTATCGCCATACTTGCGGCTGCGAAAACTGCAATTAAAAGCATAAATGTAAACATTTCACAAGCATCACATGAAAATACATACTAAACACTGTGATAGTGTACATGAGTAGATATAGACAAAAATAATTTAATGTGATTATTTTTTTGATTATTCTTGGAAATGTTATATTCAAACTATCACAATATAAAGAATAAATACACTCCTCTTCAAACCCCAAAGCTTTATAGATCCTTGATGCCTTAAACTTTTTTAAGTGCTGCTGTTAAGTGCTACTATTTTTAATTAAAATGTTTACTGTGGCACTTAAAATAATAAAAAAATAAAAAAATCAGGGTATTTAAAATTGACTCTTCACAGCATGTTCAAGCTGGTACTAAAGAAAGTACTAGGACGAACATGCTGCTCTTTATTCATAGGAAAAACTTGCTGTAAATAATTTCCAACCATAGGCCTGATGCTTTTAGCAATAATTGGGGCTAATTTTGAAGGTACAGTGAGAAATAGATATGAGTCTAGCATTCCTACTACATTCAAGCTTGGAGGAAACACTTAATTTTTTCTTTTGGTTTGTGGTTTAAACAAACCTGCAGGACTTTATGAACTGCCTGCTCTGCTGCAATATAATGAAGCCATTTGAAAGCTCTTATACCATATTATACCGACCTCACAGATTAGGCTCGGTGAAATGTTGCAGGTTTTATTGTTTTACAGCAAATAAAAAAAAAATCGTTATGAGGATCAGAGCAAGCAGTAAGAACAATTATAGCTATATGTTTTCATCTGGATCAAGCCAGAATTACTGTATAGGGCCTGTTCTGCAAAGTAAATAGAATCTCATTTGACTAGTCTAATAGAAAGTAAGAAAAAGAGGAAAATCTTCTAAGAATCATAAAAGATGAAGTAGTTGTTTCCTCAGTAAACCAACTCCTCTTTAGTCTGCAGTCTATAATAAAGTACAGATTATAAACGTAGAAGTGGGTTGGCCTGTCTGGTAAAGTGGTGAACTTGCTTAGATATTGTCTGGCAGACAAAGACTACTTTGTTTTATCTTTGTGAATCATTAATAAAAGAAAAAATAAAGATACATGCAGAGCAGTTTTATTCGGCCTTTTTCTTTAATTCTTTCAATTCCCTTGACCCAAATTAAACAAATCTTACAATATTCCTTTAAACACTCATTATTATAACATGGACTGTTTTTATTTTCAGTCAAAAATCATAACCTTCATAGGGCTCTACAATTCATTATTACTATTTTTTGTTCTACTGAAAATTCTGATTACTGATTACTTTACATTTTTCCCTCAGTCCATTTGACTTATTTCTTAACTATGTTTTCTGACATTTTTTTGGGACCAAACTGTTTTTTTTTCTTTCCTTTATTGACTCACTCCTGTCAAATTTAAAATGTTGATGGTATAAGGCACCAAATGTTTTCCGGTTCCTGATGAATTTCCATTTCCATTTCCAAATAGAGGCATTAATATTTTGAATGGACACATTTTTTTTTTTGCCAAGCAAGTCTGACCATCTTTGATGTGGTTAAAAATAAGAGGTAATATATGTGCTAAATAGAGATGGATCGATCCCATACCTGGATCAGATATTGTGGTTTTAAAGTGGATTTTGATCCAATTCAGTGCACTGTACATGGAACTGTTATTGCATTCCTTTCTTTTTGCACATTTATATCTGTGTTAATATGTTACCTTTTTTAAACAATGTCTATGTCACGGCTAAAACCTTCACTCTCACATGGCAAGATATATGGTTTGTTCATTCAACAGCTTAATCAGGAGTGAAATTGGATTGGATCTGAAACAACTGGATCAGTGCTAAAATAATATATAATTTACAACACAATTACTGATTTATGGTGCTATCATATAACAATAAGCGGTCCTTTGTTTTGTAGAAGATTTAGAATCAGAATTCTGATTTTGATTTCTGATGTATTTGTGCACCCACCTGAGGAAATGAAGGTACTGACACTGGGATAAAGCATCTAAACACTCCAGCTCCATCGAGCAGGCGCCAAAGTCCAAACCAACACCGGTGTTGTTAACTGAATTGACCACAAATGCCAGCGCATCAATATCACTGGGTAAGAGCCAGAAGTTCCTCAGCTCCAGGGTGGGTCGCACACTCACAACCTGCTGCGCTAGTTGTTGGTTCTGGCTCTCCTGAACACAGTGGCAGAGCTGCAAAATCTGCCATAACACAAGAACAGATGTTCAGGATAAAGAAAGAAAATGAGAATGTAATAAATTGTGTTTAAATTTTTCCAAATAACCTTTGGTCCAGTCAGAGCGGCGCTGTGACACAAAGCTTTCAGTAGTTTCAGAACGAGGGCTTGGCGTTTTTGGACCCAATTTTGGGCTCCTTTTACACCAGCTGCCTTGGCAACAAGAACCAGAGCTGGAGTGCAGTCTGACGAAGCCAGACCACAGACGTACAGGTAGAGGGAATCAGTAAATACTGTCTTCTGGTCAGACTTAGTCGTCCAACGAGTTTTCAGGCTGAATCTGAAGGAGAAAACAGAGAAGGTAGAGAACACTTTTTTAAATTTTTCATTGTATTTGAGGTTCACATCAAAATATTATTATACAAAGAAATATGTTTAAGCTTCTGCAGTCTAAAGAATGATAAACTGTTCTCAGGCTTAGCTAGTGGTGCAGTGGTAGGCCCATGTTCAGAGGTTTCCATGCTGACCTTTGCTGCATGTAATTCCCACTTCTCTATACCAATATTCTGTCAAACAACTTTCAAAATAAAGCCCATAAGAATGGTAAAAATAAAATGATCATAATAAGTGCTTAACAAGTAAAATTGGATTGAATTGTATTGGCAAATAGAAAAACTGCTCTTATTTAAGCCTTATAGATTAAAGGTATAGTGCAGGATGTTCTTTTTCTGGGTGGATCATCAAAATAAGTGGTCCTCCTAATTGTCAGTCATTCTGGTAATATAATAATGTTTATGTAAGGCAGTCCTACGTGCTTGTCCCCATTTTCCCCGTTTAATAGGCGTTCCCTCTTGGAAGCGGGTACAGGGTTGTACATGAGCATTATTATTTTAAAGTGGTGAGGGCGGATATTTTAGGTATAGTGAGGATTCCCAAACATCCTCCAATATACCTTTAACGTCTAGGCAAAGAAACCCATTTAAAGGGAGATTGTTTGTAACCTTATAAAAAACTGAATATTTTACAAGTTTTTATATTCTTTATTCAGTTCAATGCAACCTATAATTTATTAATGAAGAGTCCTGTAGTGTTCTTTGGCATTTGATGGGGCATGCCAGTAGCTGCAGAAGTGTGGAAAATGCCTGAAAGGCACAAGCAGAAAACAAAGCGGATAGACAGAAACAGAAAATCACTGAACATCAAACGGAAAAATCCAAGAACTTCAACGAATTGGTTTCCTGATACTTTTACCCGACTTTGAAAAGAGCAGGTTTTCTCACAGTATTTAATAGGAGGAATTTTCCACTTAAATGTTTACACTTGAAAATAGAGTATCTTTCTCATTTCTTTCTTCTACTGGCACTCCCCAAGACTGTTTCCTCTCATCTATTTGTTTCATACACTAATGGTTGGCAGAGTCATCATAATGGAAGCCACATTATTTGGTATATTGTTTGGTAAGGAAAGCGCAGCAGCATATGCAAATTTTTAGGAGCCGCCTGGAAATTATACTCAAGATTTGCTTTGAAATTACTGGCATATCTCTTAATGACCCAAGTGATCGTTACAACTTACTTAAAGAAGACTAGGATAATTTTCACCAATCCTAGCCATACTCTGTGGGAAGAATTTTCTCTTTTAACAGGACAGACAAGATGAACAGAGAGAAACGATCCCTACTATTAGTAGCCTGTTCAATTCCACATCCACAGACCTGTCCCTTAGTTTCTATTCTTAGGTATTTTTGGGTTTTTTGTGTGTGTGTGTGTGTGTGGTTGTTCTCATATCTGTCTGCACAACAAATTGCCCATCCTGGAAAGCAAATTTTACTTGACTTCATGGCAGAAGTGTTAAGATAATGGGTATACCTAATAAAGGGCGCATGTAGTTTTTAAATCTGTAGAGCTGTTGAAAAAAAAATTCTGGAAAAAAAAAAGATTTGATTTTAAGCAGAACTGTTTAGCTAGCAGCTTTGCTGCATTGGGGGTGTTGGACCTAAATGAGGTACGAATGATGTGCTTAAAAGAAAATGCATATTTTTATGTATAAATCATCAGTCAAAAACCATCCGATTTATAAAGACCAATACTAATTCCAATAAAAATTTAGTCAAAAATTAAAATCACTATGTCGTCCATTAATTACAGCAAAATAACGGCAAAGCTAAGCCATGCTACAAAACGTCATTAATATGAAGATAATAAAACAAATTTTAAAAAGTATCAATAAAAATGCTTCTCAGTTTTAGTGGAACAAAGATCAGAGCATGTCTAACATAAAACACTGGAATCAGCTTGCAAAATGTCACCACCTTCTTTTCATGCAGCAGTGATTTCTCATTAAATTTTAGGGATGCTAAGGTTACCTTGTAAATTTCATAAAATTATTGGTAAAATATGCACTGTCAAACTTCAGGAATTTAATCATGAAATATGAGCTAAAATGTGCCTGATTTCATGAGTATGTTGCACATTAATCAGCTGTTTATTCCGCTCTCAGATGCCATCTCCCCTCTGCTCTGGAGCAGCAGGAAGCTACCGGTCAGTCTCTATGATATATCCATTGTTACATAGGTTTGAGCCACTGTAGGGAAAATTGATCATTCAGTCAGAACAGTGATCTTATGCTGAACTCTTGCCGTGGTTTCTGGAGTTTATCATTTCATAGTGTTTCAGAACAGCTATTTTTACCCATAGTAGTGATGCGTTTGATGTGTATCAACAATTATTAATGCAATGCAGGATATTTGGATTTAATTAACACCATTAAGCCTCTCCTGTTTCATACAGCAGCAGCTGCAACTATCTTCATGGTCACGTTTTGTTTTGTGCATGTGCTTCCTTACCTCTTCTTCAAGTCTGCATCACTAACATCACTGCTGGTCATGATCCTGAGCGCAGCCAGAAACTCCTGCACCGTGAGATGAATGAAGCAGTAAGCGCTGGCGAGAAATCCACCATGCGATCTGAACTCCACCTGCCAGGAGGACGCCACCATTTAATTTATAATCACAAACCTGAGGATTTATAGGATTTATACTGTTTAAACTTAACAAGCGAATTAGATGTTTCCCCCAACTGTACATGTTTAAAATTATTTCCTTTATTGGTCATTCATTTGCACTAACAAGGCTTCTACGGTACTTCAGCTAACTAGTTTTAACCACTAACCAGAAAAAGCAGAATTGGAGGCCAAATGAAAAAGGAAAGTTAAATGATGAAACTAACAACAAACAAGTCTTTAAAACATGAAATAGAATAGGACAGTTTTATTGGTCTCTGTAATAAACTAGACTTATTGACACTTTAGTGAATTGGTAGTTTGAGAAGTAATTTCTCTTGTGCTCCTAGGCCAGCAGGGCCCCAGGCAGTATTAAATTAAGCTAATATTTTGGTTGAGGATGAGGTTTTTATGCTTTACTCTCTCGGAAAATCAGAATATCTTATTATCTAAAAAGAATTACTTTGATTTGACACAACTGATATTTTCAGAGTGACTGGATACATTAGTGACATTTACTTAAGAGACTTCTTAAAGAACATATTTGTACTTCTATGAGCATTTTACTGCATCATAATAGTACTTCTACTAGTTAGACCATTAGGCTAATTTAGCAAGCTGCATTTGCTGTACTGAATTACAAACTTAGACTAGGACAACTTTACTGTTTCGTTTTGTACAGCTTTCAGACAGTAAACGAGAAGCAGCTTAGCAGTGAAATTAACATTTCCATTTCATAAGGTGCAGAAATGATCGAATGTAAAAAGTGTGGGAGGAAAAACATGGTGCAAAACGCATTGATATGGAAGCTCAGAACAGTGTAAAACCAAATATATATGGTGCAAACATGCAGTAGAAAAACAATTTTGAGTTGAGTTCTATTTGGTTTGATGTTATCAGTGTTATGCAGAGAAAACAAACAGCTTTTAACAAAAAATGAATCAGACTTATTTGCAAACAAAGGTTCAAGAGTCTAACGGGAGATTTCATATGGTCATCTAAGCTAATTGAGGTCCAAGACATAGCTGCTGAGTGCACAAACAAATCAGTGAACACAATCTACGTTGCGGCTAACGTCAAGATCAGATATAGCCTTCCAATAATGGCCAGATATTTCACCCTACCTCCAGATCAAAAGTCATCACTGTGATTTTTTTGAAAAAATGCTGTTATTAAATCATCCAGGGCTTACTGAACTTTACAGCAGAACCAAAAAAACATTTCTGTATTAAATAATAGTTTTTATCAGTCTAATGTAAGATTACTGAATTGGAGTTTTACTCCAAATTTGCTAAGAATTAATAAAAAATCAAAATGCATCTGTACCATGGCCCTCACGTTTTTGCCAAATGCACAAACATATTGACAACATTCAGTAAATGTGTAGCCATCTCTGACCTGTGAGAAGAGTTCGGTCTTGATGGATAAATCCAAAATATGACGTGGAACGTCTTCTTCCAAAAAGACAATCCTGCTCTCCTCCACACCTCGCCATGCCAGCTGGCTTAGCTCACACAGTTCAGCTGAATACAGACTCCATACAAACCATACCAACAATGTTACACACCTGTTTTGTTTTGGTGACTGTGTAGCTGTTTTTCCAATTCTTACCTGTGAGGAATTCCTGGGGTCTCTGCACCGTCTCTTTGTGCTCTTTGCTGAGGGTACCGACTGAGAAACGCACCAACAGCAGCGAGGTAGATCTGAGTCTGGGTTGCAGGGATTAGCGCTAAAGTGCATGATAACCCTGGGCTTATTTTTTTATCATGCATAAATGTCGGTTCACCCTTAAGAGTTTGTTTGCTTTGTTGTGCTCTTTGTAAGTTGCCCTCTCCACCAGCCATTGGTTCCCATTTTTCTTGATCCTGATTCTTGGCTTCTGCTCCTTTTTCTTTCAGTATCTGCCTCCCTTCTTCATCTCGGCATTGTCGCAGTAGGTTTTGCAGAAAGACGCAACAGATGTAGCAGAGGGCAGCGAGGGAGGACATGGCAAGGAGGTGTCGATTAGAGAAAAGTATGCCTGCTGCATCAGGTCCAAGATTTCCTTCTAATTAAAGAGTTGAGACAAAAAGCAGGTTAAGTAGAGGAGGGGGTCTTCCATACTAAAACCTATTTGGGCCAATTCAACAGTGAACCTTCTTAGAATATAAAACTGATTTAAACCATTGTGTGTAAAAGGTGTTTCTGGTTGAATGTTCGAAAAGATAAGGACTACAGAGGCACCATTCTATCAACAAGGGATCTGAATTTTCTGTTTTTTCTCTTGATTTACTTTGATTTATCCCTTAAATGCAATAAAACAAAAAACTCATCAGCATAAAGGGTTTAGTTAAAATCAGGTTAAAGCTACCAGCATATGCTTGATTCAATTGAATCGTGTCAGTTCTTAGCTGTTGCTCGGCAACTCAAATCTTCAGCTTCCTTACCAGAATGTTTATGACTTTGGTCTAAAACCAAACTCAGCCACTCTATGATCTTCCATTTCCAAATCCACTGTTGTAATTTGACTTATTGTTTTAGTGGAAAACTCAATCATGGGCAATCATCAGTGTTCTGATCCAAGGATTTACAGTAAATTACCTCTAGTGAACCTATATTGTATCTGCAACAACAAAAAGTCTCAAAGTTTACATTTTCAACTTGTGTGTGTAAATGTGTTATTTGGGTCATACCAAAAAGTTTCTGATAACCACAAAACGGGCTTAAACTGGAGGCAACCAGGTATTTAAACACCTATCCAAGAGTCTTTGTTGATTCTGTCGGCTCGCATTAGAGCAATCTGTAGTTTCCTATAAATAAGAGCTGAGATGCTCGATTTTGATCTCACAACACTTCCTCCTAAGCTTTCTGTGAACCATCTAGATGTCCAATGGGAGGCCTGTGTGTTACCGATAGAGTTCCTGGTGACTGTAGTCCTGGGTTCAAACCGTTAATAATCTCCCGTGTACTGTAGCTTTGGGCTGGTCAATTAGCTTTCTAATCCTTCTTAGCCTATAAACCGAAGCCTGGGATGAACCTTCAGGTTGAGGGCAACTGAAGCTTATTTTATTTTCTCTTGTTTTCTAGGAGCATTCACCTTCTCACCAAGCTATCAGCTGATGTCCCTGAATCTGTTCAAGCCTCGAATGAATGAACTGTCTTGAAAAGCCCATTCTTTCTGCGGATAGAAGTGTTCTATATGGTTATCTGTAAAAGATAAACTGATTGATCTGCTCTAATGCTTATTTCCCCCCATTGACTTGCAAACAATTTTGATAAAATGCTTTTTTTATTTCATAATTTGTCTGTATTTCTTTAAAACTACCATGAAATTCAGAGCCTTTTTGATAGAAAAAACAAAAAATGTGCTGTAGTCTAAATACTTAAAGTGGCCAAGTGATGGTTAAAGAAAAGGCAAATGCTTCCCTCCAAGAAAAGACCATTCTTGATCACTACATTGCTGTAGTGTTTCCTTGCAACTGAATTTTATGTTGTAGAAGAGCATACAATGCCACCACATTTGCATTAGAATGAAAAAATGAATGCTTACCCTTTAGATCAAAGAAGCTTTTGATATACTCCTTGATCTCCTGGTGGTCCCATGGCAGCAGCTGCCCCACTTTGTCCGGCAGACCGTCCAAATCGATCACATCTCGTAGACGACATGTGACCAGCACGCTGCTTCCTGCCAGAAGTCGACGGTTCAACAAGCCCGAGATGAGCTCTGCGACATGCAGAGGTTTTTCTGAGTCCAGCGGCTCATTTTGAACTTTCTGTTTCTTCAGTTTTTTCTGAAACTCATCGTAGCCATCCAGAACCCAGCAGCTCTGCTCTGGGTTGGAAATGAGGTAGTCCACAATGGCTTGCTGCTCCAAACAAAGATATGGTAAATAAAATATTACTTCTTAAATAATGTTTTCCGTCAATATTTGTTGAAAACTTAGTTTCTATTACTAACTCTAAAGCAGCTATTCTTTTTTCTCCTTTGCCTTAAAAACATAACTTTTTATCCTAAATACACTGAAATACTTAAACATCTGCTGTGTAACCTGCTATTTATCAATCTGCTCTAAAAATAGAAGCATTTTATGTTAAATGCTTGTAAATTAAAGCACCTTTGCGTCATTATCCCCGTTCATTGGGAGGTAGTGGTGAAACAGCAGCTCAGACAGAGAGAGAGGGGAGGACAGAAGGTTTAGCTGACGAAACTCCAGCAGGACAAAGAGGTGGGATGAAGGAATCGGGCCCTGGATGACAGGAAAATAGTGGAAATGTGACAACATCTCATGAGGGGAGAGTTTGCAGGAGAAACAAACATAAAAACAGCCGTGATTATGAAATAACACTGCAAACTCTTAATTTAACAACTAATTAACACTATTTAACATTAAGAATAGCAAAAAAAAACTGCTTTTATTGTATGTATTGGTTAAAGTAGTCAAAGCTGAAAAAATATAAATATAAAAGCTGTTTTTGCATCAGAATCCAGGAAACTCTGATCAATGTATTTGGCCCTAAAGACCTTAAGAAAAAAAAACATTTTACTCTGGATGTCATTACTATAGCGTTCAATGCTAAAGCAATTAGTATTTGATTCTTCTTGAATCTGGATCTATCTTTTAACTTTCAACTCTGATAAAAATATCCCTTTTCTACACATTACTGTTTATATAAAGCCAGTTGTGTCTTATCTAAAGATGTTGCCATTTGTTTGCTATCTTGCTGCTCTCTTATGTAAAGAAAATAGTTTAGGTGCTAAAATATGAAACCCCAAAGCGTAGCATTAGTCTAACTAATATTATTAATAGTGGGTCATTTGAGTATTTTAGACTCATATCAACCCTTTAGTGATGTTGCAGATTATAAAAAGTGTTTAATGGCTTTAAAATTGTGGCAGAATCTTTTGACGTATAAAAACTGCATCACAGCAGTCATCAGATTAAATATACTATGGTGTCAAATGAATAATAAAACAAGGCCCCATTATTATTCACCTACATAATAGTGATTTTCTGAGTTTTTGATTGGCGCCGCCTCGGGGTGGCAGCCTGTAGCCGCAGCTCCTGCCGTGCGTTTTTAACTTTTATTTATTTGTTAGTGTGTTTCTTTCCTCGTTTTTCTATTTATTGCAAGTCCGTACATAAACGTTGGAACAGTGGCTGGATTAAGTTTTGCGACTCTTTTCCGCGTTCTTCTGTTACTTTTTTTACTTTTTGTAACTGAGAGCGTTGCCAGCAGTAGCGGGGGCATTGTTTACACGCGTGATCAGCTGATTGCTCCGTGTAAGCCCACGCTGCTGCCCGGAGACAGGCCTGTGGTCCCGGAGGAGTTACGGAGGAGACGCCGGGGTTGCAGAGCTGGAACCAAGCGGAGGGGGAAAAGGAGAAGACATAGGCCAGCGGTCCCAGCGATAATAATGGGAAATGTGAGGTCTTTGGCGAACAAGACGGACGAGCTCTCAGCGCTGGTGAGGACTCAACGGGAATACCGCGAGTGTAGCTTATTTTGCTTCAGTGAGACTTGGCTACAGTCCAACATCCCGGACAGCAGTGTGGAGGTCACCGGTTACAGTTTGGTACGTGGAGACAGAGACTGTTCTAAAAGTGGGAAGAAGAAAGGCGGCGGGCTTGTACTTTATGTGAGTGAGAGGTGGTGCAACCCTGGACATGTCAGAGTGAAGGAACGTCTCTGTACCCCGGACATTGAACTGCTGGCTGTGGGATTGCGCCCGTATTATTTACCGAGGGAGTTTACATCTACCATTGTTATTGCTGTCTACATCCCCCCATCAGCTGATGCAGCGGTGGCCTGTGACGTCATCAGCTCCGCCGCTGCTAAACTGCAGACTGATCATCCAGATGCGTTTATGGTTATTACTGGTGATTTCAATCATGCCTCACTGAACAATACTCTCAATAACTTTCATCAGTATGTTGACTGCCCCACCAGAGACAATAAAACACTGGATTTATTATACACCAATGCCATGGACGCATATGAAGCCGCAGCCCTCCCTCCCCTCGGCAGGTCAGACCACAACCTGGTCTTGATGACCCCGAAGTATGTCCCACTTGTGAAAAGGCAGCCGGTGCACACAAGGGTGGTGAGGAGGTGGACACCAGAGGCTCCTGAGGCACTGCAGGACTGCTTCGAGTCCACAGACTGGGACGTGTTATGTGAGCCACATGGGGAGGACATCGATGGGATGACCAACTGCGTTACGGATTACATCAGATTCTGCGAGGACACCACCATTCCAGCCAGGACCGTCCAGTGCTTCCCTAACAACAAGCCCTGGATTACCAGTGACCTGAAGGAACTTCTGAACAAAAAGAAGAAGGCTTTCAGGTCTGGAGACAGAGAGGAGCTGAGGAGAGTGCAGCACGAACTCAGGGACATGCTGAGGATGTGCAAGGACAATTATAGGAGGAAGCTGGAGGCCAAACTCCAGCAAAACAGTGTGAGGGACGTGTGGGCTGGAATGAAGTACATCACGGGGATGAAGGGGAAGGACAGGCAGACACCTGGGAGCCTGGATAGAGCGAACCAGTTCAACCAGTTTTTTAACAGGTTTAGCTCACCTCCTGCCACCCCTCTGACACCTCCAACCCCCCACACACTCACACTGTCCCAAATGGCTCAACCCTCCCCCCAGCCTTCTCCTGTACAGCACCTCTCCACCACCAACCCCCCCCCCCCCCCACCCCCCCCTCTGCACAAACCCCCGTGTGACTACAGGCCAGGTTAAGGCCCCGTCCACACGAAGACGAACCCTGGCCTAAACGCACAAATTTTTCACCAAACCAGCCTCTCATCCACACGAAGCCGGCGTTTCGGGGGTCTGTAAACGATCTTTTTTTTATTCACCCTTCAGAGTGGGAAGATTCTGAAACGCCGTTTTCGCGTTTCCATCTTTACGCACTAACCGCATATTTTTTTTTACACGCATGCGTCATAGCGTCGCCTCTAAACACGCATGCGCGACACATCACAACAACAATGGCGCCGTTGCTGCTAATGCTACTCACCCTGCTGTCGGGCTTACAACAGAATCTTCTTCTTCTGGAATATCTCCAGGAAGAACAGAGCAATATCCACGACATAGTTCAGCACCTGAATTTGACTTAACCAAGAAAATGGACCCGCAGGGCAACCATGTATAAATATTAGTGCGCATGCCCAACATTTCGTCGCTTATTTTTGCTTTGGCACCACAGCGCCACTTACAGGCCTGGCATACATTTTGCAGCGTTTTCATGCATTCGTGTGGACGCTCACATATATTTTACGTCTCCGTCTTTACGGCAAACGTTTTGGAAAATATCAGCGTTTCGTGTTCGTTTTGACTTCGTGTGGACGGGGCCTAAGAGGCAGCTGGAAAGACTACATCAGCGCAAGGCTGCAGGCCCTGATGGCATCACACCCAGGATCCTGAAGACCTGCGCCAGCCAGCTGTCTCCTGTACTGGGACATCTCTACAACCTCAGCCTGAGTCAGGAGAAAGTCCCGTTGCTGTGGAAGACGTCGTGCTTGGTTCCTGTCCCCAAGAAGCCGAGGCCATCCGACCCAGCAGACTACAGACCGGTCGCCCTCACATCACATGTGATGAAGGTCCTGGAGAGACTGGTCTTAGCCCAGCTGAGGCCACAGGTGAGGACGTTTCTGGACCCTTTGCAGTTTGCCTACCAGTCCCACTTAGGAGTTGACGATGCTGTCATTTACTTGCTGCAACGAGCCCATTTGCATCTGGATGGTGGAGGAGGCACTGTGAGGATCACTTTCTTTGATTTCTCCAGTGCTTTCAACACCATTCAGCCTCTGCTGCTGGGTGAGAAGCTGCAGGTGATGGGTGTCGACGACACAAGGATCTCCTGGATTACTGACTACTTGACAGGCAGGCCACAGTTTGTCCGTCTGGGCAGTGTCCTGTCTGATGTGGTGCTCAGTGATACAGGAGCTCCACAGGGAACTGTGCTCTCTCCCTTCCTCTTCACCGTATACACCACTGACTTTCAGTACAATTCTGAGTCATGTCACCTGCAGAAGTTTTCTGATGACTCAGCTGTGGTAGGGTGTATAAGAGAGGGAGAGGAGGGGGAGTACAGGACACTGGTGGACAACTTTGTGGAGTGGTCCGAACAGAACCAACTGAGGCTGAATGTCAACAAGACCAGAGAGATGGTGATTGACTTCAGGAGAGAGAAGAGGTCTTCACAGCCACTACGGATTAGGGGGGAGGTGGTGGAGGTGGTGGAGGACTATAGATACTTGGGAGTGATGAGTGACAATAGACTGGACTGGAGGTCTAACTCTGAGGCTGTGTACAAGAAGGGGATGAGCAGACTCTATTTCTTGAGGAAGCTGAGATCCTTCAATGTGTGCAGCAAGATGTTGGAGATATTTTACCAGTCTGTTGTTACCAGCACCGTTTTCTTTGCTGCTGTGTGTTGGGGCAGCAGCATTAGAGCCAGCGACACCAACAGACTTGATAAAATCATCAGGAGGGCTGGCTCTGTACTTGGACTCAGGCTGGAGTCTTTTGAGACTGTGGTGGAGAGGAGAACGCTGAATAAACTCTTATCCATCATTGACAATGATCAGCACCCTCTCCACCACACAGTGGTCAGACAGCGGAGCACTTTTTCTCACAGGCTGCTCCAGCTCCGCTGTCGAAGGGACAGATACAGGAAATCTTTCCTACCATATGCCATCACATTGTACAATAAAAATTAAACTCTTGTTTCAGCATACAGTAACCAGCACTGTACTATACTGCACTCCATGTTTTTAATACTATTTATAATCTGTTCACTGCACCTTAGGACTGTTCACTGCACCCTTATAATGTAAATACGTGTGGATGTTATGTTATTTTTACTTTTCTTATCTCATTGTGTTGTGACTGTCACTATGTGTAAAGCTGCTGCTACACTGCAATTTCCCAGCTTGGGATAAATAAAGTACATCTATCTATCTATCTATCTATCTATCTATCTATCTATCTATCTATCTATCTATCTATCTGATTTAAGACTCCAATAAAAGAAAATGCACATCATTTGAGTTTTTTTTTTTAATGAGCACATCATTGACTCAGCCAGTACTTGCAAACTGGTTATTTTAGCATGCTTTTTTTCCCCTTACTTATACAGTGTCTTACCTATTTTGGTTCCTTCACTGCTAAGATGTAGATTAAAAATGAGAGTTTCTTTTAAGACATTGAACTGTAGAACATTTTTTTATACAGCTTTTGTAGTTGGGGGCTGTTTTTAAATTTTACAAACCTCAACCATCCTATTAAAAACATCTAAAACGGAAATCTTCAATGTTTGTCCTGCAACCTTTAGATGTGTCCTTTACTCTACACACCTGAATCAAATGACTAAGGAGTCTCACTAGCAGCAGTCAAGCTTTGCAGAGCGCTGGTAATTAACTAATGTCTTACAGTTGATAACTATTAATATCTATTAATGACCACAGCGTAAAACTATTAAGAATGAGAGATACAACAAAGTTACAACTACCTAAAATACCGTTGGAGGCAGCAATTAGTTTCACTTTTGTTTATGCTAAAACAGAAGTCGGAAGTATGTAAACAAATGAACTGTAGATTCGCGCTAATATGCAAATCAGTGTGACATCACTGAGAATAACATGACTTTTCTCAGGTACTTTCCACTGGTGAAAGTTTTGCAACTTTTTACAATGTATTTTGTTCTCTATTTAATTCCGCCTTCTGGCATTGGAATGATGGCTGGTTTCACAACCGCTCAACCTTTGACAAACTATGAACACAATGAACAAGTTTGTACTTTGAATTGTACAGATGATTTTTATTTGTCGTTCTTTATGTCTTCTAATGGGCACTGCTATTCTAGCAGCTCAACAAAAACATAATTTTAAACTAAAATCTGTCTTTTGATATGGATAGAAAGAGGAAAGCAACTTACTAATCCTTCAGCCCATTGCTGCCCAAGAGAGGACATCAGCGCAGTCTTTCCTGATCCAGGTTGACCACAAAGAACTGTCACTTTTCCTGCACATCCTTGCAGAAAGCTCTCAAGAGTGAGTCTGGACTCTGGACATCCGTAATCACAGTCAGGCTCTAATTTTGGTTAAAAAAAAAAGGTTTGCAGAGTTAGTTTCTTTTTCTTTTGGTGTTTTTAACACTTTTCTATCTTTATTACATAGTGAGTCATGTACACTTTTCAATTATTTTTCAGTGATGCGCTTAAAATAAATTTAGGCTACCGCTGCTGAATAAGAAAGGAAACAGGAAGCCACTCCTGACCTGGTGTTCTGCTGCCTCTTTCTGCAGAGCTGGGGGTCTGATCGGGTCTGTCCCTGGCTCTGTTTGCAGTTTTTATGCTGACCCAAACTTTGTCCGGCTGTGTATCCTTCACCAGACCCTCGGACATTCGCTTCCACCTCCTTTGCAGGAAACTTGCCACTTCAGTCTTGTACTGCTCCCAGTAATCTGCAGGCATTGGATAACCTTGTGGTGATCAAGACAGTTTTGATTCTCAAAAATTTTTATTTTTTTAAGATCTAGGATGAAACCAGTAATGCTCAGTAAAAATAACAGTGCAAAAAATCTTTAGTTGACTCCTATATAATAAGAATCTATGCAAAACATTTTGTTTCCCAGAGCAGTTTTCATTAGGTTGTAAGCAGTAGAGTAATCCAGGGTATACAGAAAGTAGCCTGACGTAGTCCGACTCAATTCTAGTCAGAATATGAGTCTGATACTGCTCCATAGAGCTGTGATTATGGGGCGTGTTTTGAACGAACCAGGAAAAAAAATGCCTCTGCACTCAATTGGATAGACCTACAACCAATAAGAGCAACGGAGTGCGTGACGTATGTTAAGCGATGCCTAGTTGTTGTCAACAAAAATCAAAGCGTACAGTTGCACGCCTAGAATAAGAAGATGAGACTTGATCGCGTTTCTCTGTTCCTCTTTTAAAATTAATTTGCTGTCGATATCTTCTAGAACAGACCTAATAGCAGAATCTACTCACCTCAACTATCCAGCGGCAGCCATTATTGTTGTCACCCAAGCGCGCTTTGGTCACATGGTTGATTACGTTACTGTTGATCATCTCTCCATCATCGTATAAAGCCCGCCCTGACAATTTGATTGGATCACCAGAGGGTGGGCGATCATACTCCCGCTACTATTGAGCAATGCCAGACCGAACTTCCCGACCTCAAACCTTGTGGGCGGGACTAAGTTCGGGATGGCACCCAGGCTAATACAGACACACTAACTGTTACAAATCAGCTGTTCAAAGAGACAGTTTATAAAAGGAACTACTGACTTGCTAAATTACAGAATAGGAGTCATCCATGTGGATGGAATAGTTCCTTCAAAATCCATATTTGTTTCTCCCTAGTCTCTGGGAAACCATTTAGTTATTTCATAATCCTTTATCCCTCAGATCAAATAGCAGAAATAATATATTATATATTATAAAATATTTTGGTAAACTACATAGAGAGGTCTTAGATGTCATTGTTTCTGGGCTGCATTAAAAAAAAAGGGCGAGTATACCCACTACTCCAGGGATCACTACACTATGGCTATAAGCACTAACTTTCAGAGATAACTTTCTTAAACTATTGGCTTTGTATTAATGCAGAAAAGTTGTTTTTTTTTTCTTTTTTCCAAAGGCTCATTCCAAAAGCTATTCTAAGGCCTAGTCTACATGAAGACAGAGACAGTGTATTTTTATAAACACCTCACAAAAAAGTGTGGGTTTTTTTGTTCTGTTTAAGTTTCTTGTTTTAGCTTTTAGTTACACTTTGATTAATGTTATTCTGTGATTTTTTGGTAATTGGTCTCTTTTCCATTTTGTGTCATTGGAGTAGTTTTCTAGTTATATTTAAGCAGTGTTGTTGTTTTTTTTAGCTACTCTCTGTTGCCCCCACGTTGTGCCAGTCACCTTTCCCCTAGCTTCCTTCTAGCTGCTTCTGTCCACACCTGCTCCCAATTAACTGATTACTCCACTCTTTGTTCTGTCTCCCATACTGTATATACTCCTCTGCAGTTCCTCAGTGCTGAATTCTTATATGTTTCGCCTGAGCTTCTGTAGTTTAACATTTCTGCGTTCCAAGCCTGTTATTTCTGGATGTATGTTTTTATACCATCCACCTATTCATTTAAAACTCCGCCTCCTCTACACTGCATTTGGGTCCACAACAACATTCACCAATCCTGACATTTGCATCCTCAAAAGTGTAAACAGCACCAATGAAAATGCTGCAGTACATATGCCAGGCCCTTTGGTGGTGCTGAGCATGCGCAAACAGCTTGTGACTCCCGATCTGTACTGGTAGCGCGATTAATTCCAATCGGCTCATTTGGGTGTGTGGAATATGGATATTCATCTAGGTTGCTATAAATAATGTAATTACTGTATGTGCTGAAGGTAATTAATTCTGCCCAATATGGAAACAAAAAGTGGATTTAAGACAGCATTGTCCAAGAGACAGTTGTGCAGCAACTCCATGTTTCACTACTACCGCCTTTTGTTGCTTTTTTTATTACCCATTGTTGAAGTATTTAGTAATAATCGGAATCTATGGTTTGCAACTAAATGTGAATGTAGGATATATTTTAAAATTATGCATGAATGTTTTACCAATCCGTGGGCGTTTGATGACTTGCTCCTCTGCAGGTGGCATTAAAGGCTGCCAATCTGTTACGCTTGAAGTACCATCTATCAGGTAAAAGAAAACATAAGACAGCACACTGCATGAAAATGCTTCAATACAAAATGACAAAGATGGTATAACAACAAGACTTCTGCAAGCATAAGGATAATTTGCTATTATTTAACTTAGCATTCACTAAAGAATTCCAAATAATCTTAAAATGTATGAAAGAACAGGTAGGGAAATTCTAGACAAAAAAAACAATATTAACTCTTAAACATCCTGAATATGTGCAGCTCTGACCAAAAAACCCTCTGCTTTCATTTTCATTTTTTCTTAGCTTAATTTATTTGGGTACAATATTATAAACTTTATCAAATAAACAAAGCTTCCTTAATAGCACTGCTTCCTAGGCAATTATTTACAAAGAAAGGTTGATTGTTGACTAATTTGTAGCTCAGAACTTAATTTAAAAGGTGCTGAGGTTTATTTTGCAGAGCATTATATAAAGAAAATAGGGATTTACATTTCATATTATGTAGAATTATCAAAGAATAATTACAAGCCATTAAATAATAAAGAGGACATGTTTTTCTATGCTGATCAAAAAAAAGCAGCCCAATTTTACTTTCATTTCAGTTGCTTTGGGAACTTTTAAACATTTAACTTTCTTTGCTTATGATTTTATTTCATTTGTTGTGTGTTTTTTTTTATGTTTCTATCTTTTTTTGTACCTGTGGCCATTACCAAAAAGCAAGCTGTCAAGAAACGGGTTTGAGAGAGGAGGGAAAAAGTCAGCTGCCTCTGGTCAAGAAAAGCAGTTTTTAACCAGAAAACGCTTAATCCCAGTTAAATTAACTGATTTAAAAAAAAAAAATGAATTACCTGTATTTGCCAAAGGTACTGTTTCTGTGGGTTGATTCTTTAAAGCATCAGCTGAACAAATACAAAGGGCAGAATGAATAAATATATTAGTGAATAAACATTATTTTAAAATATTGATAAAAATCATTCAAGCGGTTCTAAAGAACTTTTCGTTTTGGTCGATTTTACCTGGAAACAGATAAATATAATGTTTCACAATAAGTACACATACTGTATAGATCCCGGCAGGAAGGTGCTACATTGCCTGAATATCAGCCTTGCACAATTTACCATTTGTTGTTGTTAGCATCACAGGAACCAAATGATGGGACCATATAAGGGCATCTGCACATTGTGTAGGCGTTACCTTCCGTTCTGAATGGCTGCAAGAGATTCCGTCTGAAAGGGGTCAGATCAGCAGCCACATGGTGTAACTTTCTTTGAGCTAAGGCTACAGAACTGCCTGAATCAAAACCAGAGCTGACATTATTTCAGACGTTATGGCTCTTTCTCTGCAAAACCTTTGTTTGGGCCCACACCCAAAAAAAAATGCTCTATTTACTTATCTGCTAATGGGCACAGCTAACATGAAACAGCACAGGTGTGGCTACTGGTTAACTTCGTCGCCCAGAGCTCACCATCTCTGCTCTTGCTGGAAGTTCCTTTGAAGCCCTTAATATCAGAGTCACGGGACTCATGGTACCTGTAGCTCCTTATGTGATGATCATTTTGGCATTTTGAGGATAGACGTGGATGAGATGATACTAGCTACTGAATCCAAAGAGCGGCATCAGATGCCACGCGGTTCTGTAACGTTAAGTGCAGGACAGATATGACTATGCTGCAACCAAACCAAGCTCAATTCGGGTTCTGTTTGATGCATGAGGGCTGTGACAAGTGGCCTTCACTCACTGATGGGAAATGTTTGGTAACTTCCTGATAAGAAGCTGCTAGCAAATTAAAACCATAAAATGCTAAAAGAAGGAACATAAAGGATGATAATAAAAAACTGCCAAAATGACTCATCGGTAGTTAAATCCTAAAAGAACGCGAGACTTGCTCTCCTAAATGACATTAAGAGACACCCCCATACAGGGGAGCATGGTGAGGTTTTTTTATAATTTAAAAACTAGCATAGATGTGTTAAAGATCATCAGAATAAGAGGTCGGGAGACAATTTGAATTTTACAGAGCCCGATTTTTATGCCACACCCTGGTCAGCAATGAGCCAAAGGCAGCACTGCAGCATTTCTTTCAGCAAGTGGAGTTTAATGAGCAGATTCTTTTATGTAATTTGTTTTTGTTTCTTTAGGCAGAGAGCCGCGCTGAATAGGATGTTGTTCAGTCATCCAACAGATATTCAACCTAAAAACTCTCTCAGAGTAAGGTCATTAAAGGAAATCTATTAGGTAGGTTACTGATAAAGACATTTTATCCAAAAGTGATCATAGTAAAGCACTTTTTCACACTTACTGCTGGCATATCCAGCCACAGACATGAGCTTCGACTCCAGATGCATAGGGATGTCTTCACATAAAAGACAAACCCTCTGAAGGAAGTTGCAGCATTCTGCAGGGTTAGCATGTGTGAAGTACTCCAGCATGGCTTTAATGTGGTCTGGTGCTGTAGCAGAGCCGATGGTTGGTGCCTTGTTAAGCATAACGGCGTCACTAGGCATCGTTTGGCAGAGATGCATTATGACGGAGTCCGTCTGACAGCGAAGGATGCTGAGCAGTTCTGAGTATTCCTGAGCCAAGATGGAGTTCACATTTTCATCGGCAGGGTCCAGGTCCTCATCCATGATCAGACTCCATCAGCTGATGAACGCAAAAAAAAATCACAAAAAACTATCAATATTAATTTATATTGATTATAAGAATAATATGAGATTCACATTTTCCACTTGCCGTAATCAGGGATGTAACCATCAGAAAATAACAATCGAATGATTTTCAGTCAGTGAACGCAGCAAACATAAATGCTACATGTTTTGACAAACAATCACAATCTTTAATGTCAAAGTAATTAGTGTGAAGACATAACTCTGGTTCTTAAACTGGGGCAGTGATGGTGGAATAGTGGTGAGGATAGCTGCCTTCCTACCAGTTGACCTGGGTTCGTTTCCCAGCCCTTGCAAAGTCTCATAGGGGTGTGGCAACCTAGTGGTTAGAGCATTGCGCTTAGGTCTCAGAGGTTCTGAGTTCAAAACCCACGGACTGCTACTCTGGGTCCCTGAGTAACACCACACTGCTCCCCGGGCGCCGAACAATGGCAGCCCACATCTCCCTAAGGGGATGGGTTAAATGCAGAGAGGTCATTTTGTTGCTCTGTACTTGTGACACAATAAAATTGTATTCTATTCTAAAAGTAATTCTGCAGTGCAGCTCCCTCTCACACAGTGTGATGTCACCTCTGCTCCTCATCAACAGCGTGATCATGTTAAATGGATAAAAACAAGTCATGAAAATACATCAGGATCATGATATCATGGTTTTATGACAGAATTAAACCAAAGTTTACAACAGCTTCTCACTGCATTATTCCATCAGTAAAAATCTACCTCTGCATATATGATGTGGTGATTATTACAGATAAAAAACATGTATTTACTTTAACAACGTTGATATTTAAGATTTTTGGGCAAAACCTAAATATTGGGAAGAATTTTATACATTTTTACTCTTCTGACTAACACAGGGCCTATAATAAGATGTTAACTGCTTAGTTAGTTGGTAGTTTGGGTGCTTTTAGCCGGTTAGCTTAGTTAAGCGATAGACCCAGAGATTTCTCCAAAGCAATTTTGTTTAGAATACACCAAATATAGAGATGGGGCTTTATCAGGCTGTGGACGTTATGCATACAAAATTGTAAAAGAATGGTGGAAATTGCATGATCAAATAGATCTAATTAATACATTCTAAAGGATTATCTTTAAATCATTGTCAGAATTGGTAAAGTTTCCAATGTAGTTATTCAGAAATTGTCAATAACTGTTTTGATATTTTGCTGTTTTTCACTGTCTCTTCTCTCACGCGCCACATGCTGCTCAGCTGATCGCAATGCTCAGTCCCTTCTCCAAAATGAAGCATAATTTCAAATGATTGCACGTCTCCTTATTGAGAAGGGGAAGAAACCAAAATGTGTGATGCATATTTTAGTTTAAGTATACCTTTATTTATTCCTATATAGGATGATTATTTGTCTTTATGCTCCTCAAATTATTCATTTTGTAAGTCACAACATAGATATCTGCTCCTATCCTTCCTAGTTTTCTTCTAAACCGGAAATATTTACAAAACAAGTCACGTGGCTTTCTGACACACGGAAAAAATGCTGCTGATTAGCAGAGCACAGCAACTGACATCAGAGAGGAAATAAACTGCATTTTCCTTCACCCTGCACAACCAGGGAAACCTTGGGTAACTTCCTCTCTTCACCAGGAGTCTGATTAAAAGCACCTTAAATCCTTCTTGATTGATCTCTGCTAAAATCAGCAGAGCTGTCCAAGCTTATATGCTCTAATTTGCGCATTTGTGCATGCAGACTGGAAAAACTGGTGAGAGGAGCCAGCTCTGTGATTGACAAGAAGCGGGGGCTCTCTGAGGACGGTGGCAGAGACAAGGATACTTAACAAACTGCTGGACATTATGGACAATGCCAGCCACCCTCTGCACGCTGTCTTCACCACTGGAGCCTGATGAGTGGGAGATAGCTCCTTCATAAATGTAGGACCAAGATACTGCTGACTCCTTTTTTCCTCAAGCCATCAAGCTGTACAGCTCCTCACTTGGGGGGAGGAGAAGGTGATAGGAAGAAGAACAAGGATCAGCACCTCCCTCCTTGGACACCTTGTGCAAAACATTACTTACTGTCACTTGTGCAATATTCTTCTCTCTCACTGTAAAATAATACATGCCAACTACTGTGTAGCCTCTGTCATTTTTTCATTTATAAGGTCAGTACATCTCTGCAGTGCAAGTGCAATAATCCAAGTCAACTGTGTAGTCTTCCCTTAGCTCTCTGCTGTGTTGTGCAGATATTTTTGTATCTAAAGGAAACATGTTCCAGGACATTGCAACTTTTCTAATGCTTTTTTTTTGTACTATATACACTCTATACACTTTTATTTTTATCTTTAATGGCATCTTGCTTTAACTCTGTGCACTCTATATAAGCTACTGGAACCAGAATCTCCCTGAAGGAGTAATCCCAGGGGATTAATAAAGTTGATTTGTATAAATAATATGTTTTAATATAGGAGTAATACACGCCTTAATTCAAAATGGTTAAAAGTATCATTGTAAAAAAAAAAGACTTTGGCAAACCAATTTTCAAAGTGAATTCAGGTGAAATATTCCGCCCATAAAAGATTAAGCATGAAAGGGACCACGTGACCGTATGAAACATTACAATAAACCTGTGGATGTTTTATTTTCTTTTTATTAATGAAATAATTAATAAAATTGGTGTTCTTTCGCTGTAAAAGTTTGCGGTATATTAATGAATTTGGGTTTGAGGCGCGAAAGTTTAGAGATTTGCGTCATGCGTAATTTACTAACCTTCCCCTAATGGTTTATTATACATATTACTTAGAAGCAGGTGATATTTAATGTTCGTCTCTGTGGATTTATTGGGCTGCTCCTCCGTGGGACACATGCAGACTCAGCGCTGCTTTGACAGTGACCTGAAATAACTTCCTGCCGAGGTCGGTTGAGGTAACGATCGCCACACTCCTGCGTCATTTAGTCTGAATTCCATTGAAACCTCACAGGAGCTAACTGCACCGGCTCACACTTCATCTACTTTTCATTATTTGACTTCTTTTGGAATGAAATAATCAGATAAACGGACTTACCACCGACTGGTGTCGCAGACCGCTCTCCGCTGTGTTCAGGCACCCTGTTTTTTGAAAACGAAACCATACAGGGTTAGGGTTAGACATTTTTGGTTTCGTTTTGAACTCTGCCAACATGGACGTCTACAGGAACAGAGTCACGTTTAACTTATTATACGATATTTGGGTTTTAATTAGACATTCGGGGACACTGAGGGTTTTGTAGTGGATAAATGCGTTATGCTCAATAGATTTTATCCAGCTGCGTGAGACTGGACTGGAGTCCAGCCTGTGCAGTATACAGGAACCGCCATCTCTCATGGCGCTGCGGCAGGACGCACAACAGCACAGAGAGCAATGGCTGAGCCGAAGGAATCAAATACTTTAATAAGGATGGCCAGGCAATAATGTACACTGAGGGGTGTGGGCGAAAACGGATTGGCACCAGAACCTTATGGTCAATCTACACTGTTTCAACAGGAACAAGCACAACATCCATATTTCTGAATAAAAACAAACCAGTTTCCAAATATGGAGGACCAATCCTGCCACAATTAAAAATAAATACAGATGTTAAATGCTCCAAAAAATAAATAATACAATAAATAAATGTAGGTAGAAATTAAATTGTAGGGTGAGACATAGAATGTATATCTCTCTTTTAATTAGCTTCTTTATTTATTTGCCTTCGTGATAATTACCTTATTTATTTATAGTGCACTATAATCTTCAACTTTATTTTTTTTTTTAAGTATTTATTTATGTGCATGTTATAATATTTTTGTCTGTATTATTCTTTCTTTGTATTTTTTTACCCTAGTTATTTCTTCCATGCTATTTATTTCTGCTTGTCGTCTTTACATTTCTGTATGCATTTCTGCTTCATTATGCAAATTAGGCTTCAATATGCAAATTAGCAAGGGGTGTGTCATTGGGGGTCACTTCCCCGAGTCCCCCAATGACCATGGGTACCACTGATTTCCCACTTCAACCTTGGGGTTTCCAGCCCATACTCTGCACCGATGTTCCTGTACAGTACCTCGATGTAAGCTTTCGCTGCCAGTATCTTACACCCTGCAATTATGTGCTGGATTGTCTCAGGGACCTCTTTGTCCCCTCAGACATTCTTTGCACCTGGGGTCTTGTCTGGTGTGGTTGATCCGGGCCTCTGTTGCTCTGGTGCCCAGGGCCTGCTCCTGTGCAGCCATGATGAGTGCCTCTGCAGTGTCTTTCAGTCCGGCTTTGTCTAGCCATTGGTAGGATTTCCTGATATCTTCCACTTCAGCTATGTTTCGGTGGTACATCCCTTGTAGGGGCTTATCCTCCCATGATGGAACCTCTAGCACCTGTCTTCTGTTGCCCATTGTCTGAGACATTCACTGAGGATGTCGTCTGTTGGAGCCTTGTCATGCTCACTACACCTCGCCCTCCCCATATATATATATATATATATATATATATATATATATATATATATATATATATATATATATATATATATATATATATATATACATATACATTTTATTTATGTAAAGGCTTTGAAAAGAATAGCCTCCTTCTTCATGCGCATGTATATGTATATAATATATATTTCCCACATTAACTGAAATAAAAAGAAAAAAAAGCTCACATTTGGCAATAATAATAACAAATCCCTTCAAAGAGTTTTAAAAAAGAGTTTTGGAATAAGTAGACACATTTATCAGGACAAAATCACTTTAGTCAAACACAACATAAATTTACCATTCATTATGATTTAACAAAAATTCTTAACAGAAATAAAACATTAACATTCCAATGAATAAATTGCTAAATCATTTCTTTGCTCTCTTTTGTAAATCAGATTACAAAACTATTCCTCTATAAATCTCATAGATACTATTTATTACAGTACAATCTTTAAAATATCACTTAATAATATATAAATAAGATATATATATATATATAACAATATCAAAATGTATTATTAGAAAACTTTGTGTTTATCATTTTAATATTTAAATGCAATATATATAACTGCATGTATATATTTCATCCAGTTTGACTTCAGTTTAAATAGTTTTTAATCGGAATAAATATTTGTAATTTAACTGAAAGGTCAATAAATAATTTGTTTTAGTATTTCAAGGGGTTGTGATGTGTAATAGATTATTGTGATATTATCTTTGACTTTTCTTAAATGTGATTAAAATGAGATCTGAGGTGCCTCCTATTCATTCTGACAGCAGCTGTCTGATTATGGTCTGACCCAAGATGGCCGCCCTATAGGCACGTCGGCCTCGCTTGGTAGAGGCGGGGGGGGTGTTTTGCTGCATGCGGTGCTGTGTTCAACAGTGCACAAATAACCATACATGCCTGCAATAACATTTATGCGCTCTTTCAATTACTATATGCAAGGTTGTGATTAACTATTTCACTATTGTGATTGCTTAATACACTCTTGTGGTTTTTGGTAGGAATTTGACACCATACAGGTGGACAATTCTGTAGAATTGGTTACTCTCATGAAATGTTGGCATCTGTTGGTCCTACAAGAAAGGCTAATTTGGGGCTGTTCAATTCTGTAGACGCTGATGTCATTGTGAAATCTGCAGCATTGGGTTGAACATGTTGCCCCAAAGTGTGGGGCCATACCGGGCAGGTTTACAAAGCAGTTGATCTCTACAGGGAACTTACCTGAGGAACAGGAACTCCAAAGATACAGTGATAGACTTCATTCAGTTGGTACAGTGCTGTTTTATTGTCATGGTCAGAAACCTTTAAAGCTACAGTGTGTAACTTTTAGCGACATCTAACGTCCAGACTGCAGACTGCAGCAACACGAACATCTCCCCCCCACCGCTTCTCCCCCCAAACAGTACGGCGAGCGTTACGGGACAAAATGTCTTCCAACACGTCCGCATCACCTACCTTCTCAAGTGATGAGGTTTGTTTACATAGATAATTTTACAGATAGTATTTCATTAGTCTGTGTAGGGTATAGATTTCATGTAGACTTAAGATAATAAATATACCCGTTATTTTTTCTACATCGTTGTGACGTTTTTGGCAATCTCGCAATCGCTAGTTTGTTGGCTCTGCGCTGCCGTAGCACAAAGATGTCTGCCTCCATGGCTGCGAGACCCGCTCCTATGTAATTATAAATAACGAATTCTAAGGCAACGCAAATATTAAGGTTAAGAGGCTGAGCTCGTAGATGATGATAAATAACATAGTTATGTATAATATATTACATTTCTGACTGTATATCCCTGTAATTATTACACAATGTAGCTTTAAGGTAATGTATTAATAGCAAACAGTTGCCACTTGGTGGCAGCAAAGACCACTCATGATTCACAGCAGAAAAGGCAAACTCCTCAAACATACAGTAACCAAGCCTTGGCAACAACTGAGTTAAGTTCACTTAGGTATACAAACATCAGGATATTCTATAAAGAAAATATTTTTGAGTAGCTAGACAGGTACCAATGTGTGACATTCACATACATGAATTCATGAAACTAAATCCATCCATCCTTTTCTCCTGTTTATTCCATGGGGCCAGTGCCTATCTCAGGCAACCTATGGGAAAAAGGCGTTATACACCCAGGACAGATCGCCAGTCTGTTGCAGGGCAACACAGAGACATACAACCATGCACACACCTGACACCTAAGGACAATTTAGAGAAGCCAGTTAACCTAACAGTCATGTTTTTGGACTGTGGGAGGAAGCCGGAGTACCCAGGGAGAACCCACCCATGCAGAGGGAGAACATGCAACTCCATGCAGAAAGACCCCAGAGCTGGGAATCAGAACTTTCTTGCTGCAAGGCAACAGTGCTACTCAATGTGCCACAGTGCATCTCAAAAATGTAATTATAGGTGGAATGAAAAATAAAAAATTTTAAACTTTCTATGTTGTTCAGATAATAATGTCAAACAATGATTGAGATTATCTAGGTAAAAATCCCATACAGCTGAGTGCTCCCATTGTTATAAATCTAAATACATGCATAGGTCAATAATGTGGGAATGGAAAGAAAAAGTATTCATATCTATTAGATATGCAGGTTCCTGCTCCATAAGCGGCTGAGCTTTAATCTGATCCGCAGCTTAGATCAGCAGGCCGTGCCACTTAGCAACGGGCTGACGGACCGAGCGTACCATCAAGGTCCAGTGCTCGTCTTCTGAGTGTCTGTCCTTCTTTACACTCAGCTGTCCGAGCAGACATTTGGAGGATCTGCCAGTTGCCAGGGTCTCGTAAACCCAGACTAAGATTTTAGTCTGCTCCAGAGGGAAGTCTGGCAGGGTGAACATGAGGACCTCATTGAAGACGGTGACCGGGCTGCGGGGGACTGCAGAAGTCTTCTGATACCTCATTTTGCTCTGATTGTACTGAATACTGATCCTGGCATACAGAGCTGTATAAGACATACACATAAAGTGAGTAGAGGTGTAGGAAATCTCTGTTCTGTTTTAGGTGTCAGAATTACCTGTAGCAGAGAATATCTCAGTGATGGCTGTTCGGACCTTCAACAGGCCAATCTCAAGCCTCTGAGAGGTTGGGAGATACTTTAATGACAGCAGTACTTCACCAACGAGATCCTGCACAGAGAGAGATTTAATTTCCCCCACTGGTCATAAGGGAATTTTATTTTTTATCCTCAAACTAGCCTTTCTGTGATTAAGTGCCTGGATTAACCTTACCTTCTGTGGTATCTGGAGATCTTCTTGTAGCTCTAGAGGGTAGGAGATGTTTAGCTGACCCAGAGGAACCCTGACCTCTCCAAGCACTGTGTGTCTGGAAAACTTATCAAAGTCCCTCACCTGATACAGACACATAAGCAACAAATCAGTTGTAAATTTGAATTCATTTCATCAGTTTGGATGTCATCTTCATCTGTCATTCTTTGAATATTTTTTTTTGGTCCAATCATATTGTTAATTAAGAAGTCTTTGTGTGCTGCAGCACCTCCATCCTAAGGGTGATGTGACGAAGCGTGTCCCTTTTCTCTGGCAGAATGCAGCTAAACTGATCTCCATACAAAGGGTTGCAGCTGCCTTTCACAACGCGAGTGCGCCACTCCTGCAGCACTGTCCACAGCACAGGTGCCGTTGCTTGACCCTTACAAGATCACAGTTAAACCAACAACATGTCACGTGTGTCTGTTTATAGTGTTGGAAATTGACAGACAGTACATTTTCAGAATTACCTCCTGTTCTTTTAATCCTTCCAGTTCTGTTCCCTCCAATCCAGCACACATGAGGCGGATCTTCACAAATGGCTGCAGGCCAAAGGCCTGGCTGCTGTCCTCCAGCCCCTCCACCTGCAAAACTGTGACCACCAAACGCG